TTATTTCCCAGGCCTACTGTCCGAGTCACACTGGTCGGTCAGAGCCGTCCTTCGGCCGTCGCAGAAGGGATGTCAACGCTACTATTGCCGCTGAGGGCAACGACACAGCTGAGGTGAAGCCCGACGAGACAAGCGACTCCAGCGCAGATAGCACCGACGCCAAAGACAAGGATGGAGCAGTGTACAAAGTGTCGTATGAAGAGACTGGGGTGGACAAATATCTGAAGGAAGAAGTGGAGACGCCGAGTCACGTTCGGAAGATGATTGAGGTAAGTTCAATGAAGAAAGAAAATTACATAAACATAGTACTTATCTATTGAAAATACCTTAAATTTGAAGTAGGAGGCTACGTTAAGTGCCTACTTGATTATCATAGCCACATTCAACGTTAAACTTTGGTATAACAAGATTCGTAGGCGCCTGAAAACTTTATGCCGATCAAGCGCTCATTCTGTCTCTGCTGTAAGCCTACGACCTATCTACCAACGACATAGAAGTCGGAAGCCTCTGGGACAACTCAACCATCACTGGTTGGGTTTCATTGGAGGCCAAATTGTACATCCTGACTATAAGTATACAGGAGTTGCAGATGTTGGATTATTCCCGTACCAACGACATGGCATACATATTTTAGAGGGCATGGGGTTCTTGAGGTCTGTAAATTTATAATAGAGGCTTTAGGCTACATTGATGCATCTTGATTATTCCTACCTAGGTGTTCGACAACCGCAACGAACTGTTAGAAGAGAACGGGCCATCAGACTCGTCGCCGGTGGTGGCGGAGGTCGGCGTGTGCGTCTCGCCCTACCACTACCGGGCGCTGCTGGTGGCACTGTGCGTGCTACTGTCGCTCCTGCTGGCAATGCTGACTGCCGCTTTGTATATTTACAGGCGAGTATAAAATAATTGAGTTTTGTATTCATAGCAAGCGTAGGTTTACGATTGACCATTGGGCTAAGCAGAAAAATGTCGTGTAACGCGCCTAAATATAAAACTCGAGCAGTTAAAAAACTTTACAGGAACTATTACCTACTAAAAACACAATTTAGCATTAGGTACCTAACTGATCTAGAATAGCTGAGACTTTTATCCATCTACCTAGAAGTACGGTATGTTCACCCTTTTAAAGGAAATTCAAGATCTACTTACTTAGGCCCGATTGTCGGTTTCCATCAGGAGAGGAAAGGAAATGTGTTTAAATACCCAATCAGATTTCATAATTTCCACATCACCTCACCAGCTTCGGTTCGGGAAATCTGATTGTTTATTCAACCACCTCTCCTCTCCGCATTGGTGGGAACCGGGCCTTAAATTCGTTACTAGCGGCCACCCGTGACTTCATACGCGTGGATCCCGTTTTACCCCCTTAGCCCTACGTTCTAAAAGGAACCCCATGCAAATTTCGACTTGTAGTTTCTGAGATTTCCTGATGAGTGAGTGAGTCAGTCAGTCAGTGACGTTCCGCTATTATAGCTTAGATTAAATTGATCGACTTACGTGTTCTGCCGTCTTCCTCAGGCGATACTGGCGTGTGCTGCGCAAGAACATCCAAGCGTCGAGCCCTGCGCCGGCGCTGCGCCCCGTCACGCCGGGCCCGAGGCCCACCAGGCCCTCGCTCTTCTCCGCCTCACATCTACACAAACCATTCTCTTTGAGGTAATCCGTTTACTAGCATCACGAAAGTGTATAAGTAGATTTGATTCGGAATAATGTGGTGTCAACTTCACTAGCAAGAATTTTTTAACGTCCGTAAGTATTCACAAACGATGCTTCTTTAAGTAAAGCAGCAAATTGAACGCACAGCGTTGAATAGAGCTCTGTGATTGGTTCATGTCACCCTGTGTCCACGCGCACTGAGAGATCTCATAGTAATATTGGTGAATATGGGCGTAATAGATCGATCTAAGCAGGTTTTGACGCTGAGTTTTAAAGCAAACCTTTAAGTAGAACTTCAAACTTGGCATTGAGACTTGCTTGGACATCATTATTTTTTTAAACTTATTTGCACATAATAGAACAGGGTAAAAGGCGAACTTAATGTCACATGGCGTTCTCCTCCAGTTTGCCTTAGTAATGTTATATTATCTGTGGTAATGTAAAGGTGCGTACGGATTGCGCGTACCCTGGGTACGCCTAGACCAGTCCATGTATGTATGGACTAGGCGTTCCGGATACGCGTACCCAGGGTACGCGCAATCCGTGCGCACCTTAACAGTTGATTAAACAATTGTAGGATACTTCTGACCCGTTTTTAAAAAAATTCTTTATCGATTCCAGCGGCCTGGGCAGAACATTTGCTGAGGTGGGAGACGAGGCCGGCTCAGCAGGGCGCCTGGCAAACGCCTTCGATGACGGCAGCGAGCCCATCTACACCGACCCTTCGTTGTTCGAGCGCTCGCGGTCCCTTCGCTCCCTCCACTCGCTAGACCTCAAGCCCGAGCGCCGCGACCACCGCTCCTAAACGCACAACTCCCAACTCTATCATAACTACTCAAGACTTTAATTCGTGCAATCGTAATTTTAACTGCCAAAGATGCTCAGCCTTCTAATCCGTTCATTGATCTGTATACAATAGCTATGTATTCTTTATAACAATGTACTTAATTTTACTATAATTTACTTGTATAAGTACTAATAAATATCTACGATTATTCTAATCTTTTAATTTTTGTAACAGTTGTGGAAATAAAAGACTTGGATTAAAAATATGTATAGTCAATTTAATTCTTAAATGCTTAGTTATAATTAATTAACAGTGTAAATTACATGTGGTAAGGTGCCGGTGTAGGAACACTCATTAAAGGCGAGTCTAAATACTCCATTTCACTTGTGGTCGGTACTGGTTCGATTTGTGCAGTCAACTTTTGTTGAAGCGCTTCATGCAACTTGTGTACAGATTCATTATGCTGTGTGCCTGGCTGTAACGCCTTCATTAAAGTCTGTATTCTGGTCTCTGGCAACTTTGGATAAATGTACCATAGTAATTTGAGCAGATGTCTTGTGACATTATCTTTAGATAGACCAGCAAAAAAGAACTCATCAAATAATACTGTACTAAAGTCTTCTCCCTGGAATTCATCAGGTAGCTGTACTAGTAAAGCTACCAGTGCATGTAGGAATGGGTCTTCATAAGCTCTGCCATCTTTGCAACTGCCCAAGATGCTTAATATTCTTAGAAGGGCTCCTCTATCGCGAAGTTTTGCTGCATGAAGAGTGTAATACATAGCTAACACACCGCAGACTGAGCTTTCCCTCATGTAAGCCTCACAGGCATCAGGGGCAGGCCCTGAATGCTCAATGGTGGTGATGGCAGACTCTCTTTCATCTGGGGGCAGTTTGTTGTGCAATGCTCTGACTTGGTCATCCACCATAAGAGACATTAGGGCTGGCAAGTATTTAGTTACCACTTGGCTATCAAGTTTAGGTTCTTTGAACTCTTGAGAGTCAATCATAACCCATGCACTCAAACCCAAAGCCAACATTCTCAATAAAAGAATTAGGATTGTATTATCTCTCGGGAGACCTTCAGTATTTATCAAATGCTGCAATATTTTGATTGCTGATGTAGCTAAAAAGTTTATTGCATAAGGATCACATAAGGTCATAGATAGATCACCCAATACTTGCTCTTGACCTCTTTTGATACTGTCTAGAAATCCCTGCAGTTCTCTAGATCTCTTTATATCAACATTTCTTTCTCTTATACAAGCATCTAAGCACCAAGTAAATTTATGACAGGGGTCAACAGATATAATATCTTGAATTTCTAAGTCATGTAAGGCCATCAGCAATTCTGCTCTTAGAGTACAATAGTGCACATTGCGCGTCCGTAAAAACAATGTGCGTAGGAACTGTAATACCATATCATATAATTTCACACTGTTACCAATCATGTGAGCTAATTTCTGCACTACTGCTCCTTGTCGTCTTACTTTGGGTGATGGTGAAAAGAATAAGTTGGTTAAGTTTTCATGGTCAAACAAAATATTTTCTTTTTCTCTGATGTACTGACTTAAAAGGGGAGACACTTCATCACCAAATAAGGATTGGTTATCTTGCCAAATCTGTCTCTTAACCTCAGTGTCAGTGTCATTATAGAGTTCTCGGTCCCTGACCAATACTTTTAGATACTTGTCATCAATATGAGGAGTGTTCTTCAAAATGCTCATTATAACTGGTCTCAGGGCTTTCACCCTGACTACCGAGAAGCTCTTAGATAATAATTCCTTTAATTTCTTGTCATTTTCTTTACTATCCTTAGACCCAAGTTCATTGATATGTGCTATGAGTTTATCTCTCAACTCTTCCAGTACAGAAGTATGAAAATCTAGTCTGCGAACACCATGTAGATCAAGAAGAGGTAGCATAGGTCGCAGGGAAGGCAGGAGAATACCGTTTTCAAGCTGGAATTCCTCAATAGCTTTCAATGGATCAGTGCAACTTGTGAGAGCGTCCCGAAGATATGACTGTCCCGGTACGCCAACATCTTCCAGTCCAGTACCAGGTAATTTACTAGACGATGCCATACTTATTACACGTTAAGCGTATCACTTTAAAAACGACTTTTATAAAATAATAAAAGTTTAATTTCAATAAAATAACAATAAAATCACACACACCATTTCTTCTTCATCCCTCCATTGACTGACATTGTTGACATTTTAGAAAGTAAGATGCGTTTATTTTACCGTTAGAAAGAACTATTTAGTCCGATACAGTATAAAGCTGTTTAACTTTTTGTTATGAAGTAGTGTTATTTTTATTTTTTATTGTTCTTTAGATAAAAATTACAAAAATAAGACAATCTAATAATTTCCTAAATGACATTATAGTTTGGGTGCTGTGTATGGAACAATAGAAGAAAAAATATTTTTCATATAATAAAATAAGTTTGATTCGGAAAAAAGATACATAAGTTTTCTAATCTGTTTCAAAAACGAATCGGCAAAATAATGTGACTGACAAATTGTCATTTTTTGACAAACAGACAAATTGACAATTTTGCTGTTTCTGTTTTTGATTTTTGTGATTCCTACTTTTGATTCCTTTTGATCGCTAATTTCTTGATGAAATGGTTTAGAAGTGGATCTTAAAGCTCGTCTTACTATTTGTGTACATGCTAAATTTAGCTATTATTAATCGATGTTCGTAATCGGTAGTTTCGGTAGTCAATAGTGGCTAGCATTGCAGTAATCAATTTATAACCTATAAGCGTAATAACAATGTCTGATAAACAAAAAACGTAAGTAAACACGTAAACAAAACCACTTGTAGGTATCTATTATTTGTTAATAAACCAAAAAATTTATAATGGCTTTCTTTCAGGCTTGTATGCGGAGATGTGAACGGTAATTTTAATGCTCTATTTTCGCGCGTAGAATCTATAGTAAAGAAGTCTGGACCATTTGATGTGTTACTCTGCGCTGGGAACTTCTTTGGAGAGGATAACTCTCAGCTCGACGCCTACAAACTAGGGACTAGGAAAGGTACTATCTTGAACCTAAAATAGTAATTATTGTATGCTTCATTGGGTGTGACCTTTCTATTAAGGATACATTAGACAATTTTCTTATGGTTTTGTTACAAAAAAGGACATTGAAAGTAACAATTACTTATTTATGCTGTTTAAAATGGCAATAATTGTTGAATTTCTCAATCAAAATTGATTTTATTACATCTTTAGGTTCAGAAATGTGACAAGATAATGAAGTAATGATTGTTATTTACAGTTCCAGTGACCACTTATGTGTTTGGACCTTCCAATAGTGACCATGTGAAATATTATTGTGAAGAAGGGGGAGAAATTGTACCAAATGTTATTTACATGGGTAAGATGTTAATAAATGAAACATCCTTTTTTAATTTAATTTATAAAATACCTATTTTGTTAAGAACTAAATGTATAAAATTTTACAGGAAGAAGAGGTCTCTTTACAACTAGTTCGGATGTAAAAATAGCGTATCTCACTGGACTGTCCCGCAGAGAGCTTGGGAAAGAGATTCCGATGTGTACGTTTGAGCCGAGCGACTGTAGTGCAGTGAGAGATGCATGTTTCAGGGGACAGAGCGAGTACAGGGGCGTGGACGTGCTGATAACCACGTTATGGCCCTTTGGGATTGAGAAGGATGAAAATCAACAGGTAAAAAAAATGTTAGAGTCCGCGTCTTGGCATGTTCTTGCATCTCAACTCTTTGTTAGACTTCAACACTTTTATTGTTACTTCTGTTATATCCTTAAATAAAAAGGGCTTGTAGTTTTGTGTCGCTTAATATTCTAGTCTAATTGAACTCTATTAAAATATCTATAACTGTAAAAATATGGCTTTTTTACAGATTGATCTAGAAAAAGAAAATCTTTCAGATCTCCTGGCTTGGTTATCAATTCATATAAAACCAAGGTATCATTTTGTGCCATCTACTAGCAAATACTATGAAAGACAACCATACAGGTAAAAATTTAAGTTGCATTATCACAAATTACATCTTAAAATGATCTATTTAGTTTTAAGATATGGCTTTTGTCCCATAAAGAAGTAGTTGTCTTTTAGCCTTGGTATAATATCCTTATATGAATAATTATTTGTTCTACAGAAATCAGAGCATGCATCAAGATTACCGAGAATCTGCCACAAGGTTCATAGGTTTAGCGCCTGTTGGTAACAAAATGAAAGAGAAATGGGTTTACGCCTGCTCTCTGCAGCCTATCTCCAGGATGAGAATGACTGACCTCTTGCAAGCCACCACCGATGAGACACCATGTCCGTATGACGTAGACCTACTGAAGCAACATCAACCTGGGAAAGTTGTTAAGGTAAATCATTTTTAAAACAAGACACATTAAATCAGATAATAGTCGGTTTGCAGATTAAACAATTTAAACGTAATTAATGTCAAACTTTAACATACCGCCGCTTTAGGACATTATTGACAAATGAATGTCCTAAAACAATGTGATAAATTGAAACAAAAAAAAAGACTAATTTTTTTATGATGGTTTTTAGGTTACTGGCAATGGACAATTCTTCTACAACATGGATGCTCCAGATGACGATCATGGAAAGCGAAAAAGAAAAGATGGCAATAACCCAGAAAGAAAGAAACGAGAATTTGATCCAGGTTTGTTTCTCCTATTTCAACCCTTTTAGTCAGTCTTCCAGATAAAGAACATCTCTTTTTCATATGGGTCTCAGTACCAGTAAATAATCTCAAATAAATTGGCGAAAATACTGTTTCAAAATGTCTAAAAACTGATTTTTCTATTCCAGATAGCTGTTGGTTCTGTCTATCATCTCCAACAGTTGAGAAACATTTAGTAATAAGTGTTGGTACGCATTGTTACTTGGCGTTGGCTAAAGGACCGCTGACTCCTTACCACGCGTTGATTCTACCTATTGCTCATCATCAGTCTGTTACAAAGGTAAGTTTCAAATGCAGATTACTTTTGAAACATGAATTCATTCATTTTCATGAATCACATCCTTAAAAATGGCGATGATGACATAGATGCCTGCTATATCGTACAAGCTGCCAAAATTCAAAGCTATATTTTTTACTAATTCCGACTAATTATAAATTAGTTAGTAATTTCATACAATCAAAAGTTTGCCTGACATAGTAAATAGTAGTTCATACTCTTATATTTTTGATATTTGTCGACAAGTAAAAACTTAAAAAGTGAGTAAATTATTAAAAACAACTTGTTTATTTCATTTCGTTCATAGGCGCCAGATGAAATAGTAAAAGAAATAAAGCAGTTCAAAGAAGCGTTAAAGAAGTTCTACGCGTCAATGGACCTAGCGGTGGTGTTCTTCGAACGCAACTTCCGCACGTCCCACATGCAGATACAGTCGGTGCCGGTACCGAAAGCCTCCGTGCCGCAGATATTGGAGGTCTTCCAGGTTAGTAGACAAATCAGAAATTAAAAAGCTTTGTTATGGCACTTTTTTACTATTACCATTTAGGGAATTGTACCTCTGCAGTGTTGCCACTCGACAAATTTGTTTTAAAACTAGCCAGAACTAAGCATTAAAAAAAAAACTGATACCTAAATTGTAACTAATTATTTGTTTAAGATATTTTTTCTTTATCGTAAATTAAGTTGAAAGGAGATATTCAACTTCTAATAGGTGCATTTTTCGGAAAAAGCACATCGAAACTTTTTAGCAAAATGCTCCAGTAAAGACGCGCGCGCAAGCTTGACTTATTTTTGTCGCCGTGGCAGTATTATCCGTGATAAATTGATAATATATCTGTTTCTCCTACACCTTTAAAAAAGGGACATATCGTCACGGTGATATGTACCATCCTAGACTGCATCCCACTTAACATCAGGTGCGATTGTGGTCAAATACCTGCCTTGTTATACATAAAAAAAAAAAAAACTGAATTCAAGCGTGCAAGCTTTAGGTACTATTATTTGCCTATATGAAATCTCATATCCCTGAACGCTATGCTTTTCCAGGACGAGGCGGGCATCAATAGCATCCAACTAGAAGTGCTGCCGCCTTACGCAGACATCAGCCAGGTGGCGCTGCCGGGCTCGCCGTACTTCCACGCCGACCTGCCTACCGGAGACCAGATCTTCGCCAGGACCAAACCGAACTTCCCCATACAGTTTGGCAGGCAAGTTCTTGTCTATAAAGGCGTACTAACGGAACTTCGACAAGTTTCTTCGACATTACGTTAAACCGACACCGTTTAATTTCGACATGAATTTAATCAGAAACTACGCTACTCCAACAAAGGCGTTTTACCTTTATCGGAAATAGCCGAATAGTCCGGTCAACGTAATGTCGGAGACTCGTTTGTCGGAGTTTAGTTTTTGAGCTCTCTAGTTCGGCAATTAGATTGGGATCATAATGAACTATGTGGATGTAGGTGGGCCTACATCCACATAGTTCATTATTTCAAAATGTCAAAATAGGAACTGTGTTTCCCTCTAAACAATAGGTATTTATTTGTTTTAAGAACCAATGGTTTTGTTATCTTACCATTCTAACCTTAATTTTAATCGCGAATTAAAATGACAAACNAATATCCTAATATGAATAATTATTTGTTCTACAGAAATCAGAGCATGCATCAAGATTACCGAGAATCTGCTACAAGGTTCATAGGTTTAGCGCCCGTTGGTAACAAAATGAAAGAGAAATGGGTTTACGCCTGCTCTCTGCAGCCTATCTCCCGGATGAGAATGACTGACCTCTTGCAAGCCACCACCGATGAGACACCATGTCCGTATGATGTAGACCTACTGAAGCAACATCAACCTGGGAAGGTTGTGAAGGTAAATCGTTTTTTAAAACACATGATACATGGACTAATCACCTATGGTTGCAGTACAGTTACTTATAGTACAGTTTAAACTTAATCGTAAATGTCAAACTTGAACATAAGCCTCCTTCCTTCCTTAGGACATTATTGACAAAGGAATGGCCTAAAACAATGGGATAAATTGAAACAAAAAAAAAAAGACTAATTTTTTTATGATGGTTTTTAGGTTACTGGCAATGGACAATTCTTCTACAACATGGATGCTCCAGATGATGATCATGGAAAACGAAAAAGAAAAGATGGCAATAACCCAGAAAGAAAGAAGCGAGAATTTGATCCAGGTTTGTTGTACCATTCTCAACCCTATTAGTCAATCATTGAGTCAAAAAACATCTCTTTTTCATATGGTCTCAGTAGCAGTAAATAATCTCAAATAAATTGGCGAAAATACTGTTTCAAAATGTCTAAAAACTGATTTTTCTATTCCAGACAGCTGTTGGTTTTGTCTATCATCTCCAACAGTTGAGAAACATTTAGTGATAAGTGTTGGTACGCATTGTTATTTGGCGTTGGCTAAAGGACCGCTGACTCCTTACCACGCGTTGATTCTACCTATTGCTCATCATCAGTCCGTTACAAAGGTAAGTTTCAAATACATATTACTTTTGACACACATTAGAGTTCATTTTCCTTAAAAAAATGGTGATGATGAAATACTTGCTATGTCGTACAAGTTGCCAAAATTCTAACCTATACATCCGACTTGTCATACTGTCAAAAGATTGCCTGACGTAGTAGTAGTTCGTACTCTTATACTTTTCATATTTATCAACTACTAGCGGCCGCCCGTGACTTCGTACGCGTAGATTCCGTTTTACCCCCTTAGGGGTGAAGTTTCGTAAAATCCGTTCTAGTGAGCACCTACGTTCTAAAAGGAACCCCCATGCAAAATTTGAGTCCTAGCACTTGTAGTTTCTGAAATTTCGTGATGAGTGAGTCAGTCAATCAGTGACCTTTCTCTTTCAAAATATAGATGTAGTAAAAACTTCAAATGTGGGTAACAAAATCAATTTGTATATTTTATTAACAGGCGCCAGATGAAATAGTAAAAGAAATAAAGCAGTTCAAGGAAGCATTGAAGAAGTTCTACGCGTCGATGGACCTAGCGGTGGTGTTCTTCGAACGCAACTTCCGCACGTCCCACATGCAGATACAGTCGGTGCCGGTGCCGAAAGCCTCGGTGCCGCAGATATTGGAGGTCTTCCAGGTTAGTAGACAAATCAGAAATTAAAAAGCTTTGTTACGGCACTTTTTTACTATTACCATTAGGGAATTGGTTGGTGGAAGTTTGTTTTAAATCTAGTCAGAACTATGCATTAAAAAAAAGACTGATACCTAAATAAAATTGTAACTAATGATTAGTTTAAGATATTTTTTCTTTATCGTAAATTAAGTTGAAAGGAGATATTCAACTTCTAGTAGGTGCATTTTTCGGAAAAAGCACATCGAAACTTTTTAGTAAAATACTCCAGTAAAGACGCGCGCGCACGGGTCTTCTTTTTTTGTCGTGGAACATATCGTCACTGTGACAAAAGTCACCAGTGCGCGCGCGTCATAACTCCGAATTCAAGCATGCAAGCTTTATGTAGTAGTATTTTCATATATGTAGTCTCATATCCCTGAACGCTATGCTTCTTCAGGACGAGGCGGGCATCAATAGCATCCAGCTCGAGGTGCTGCCGCCTTACGCAGACATCAGCCAGGTGGCGCTGCCGGGCTCGCCGTACTTCCACGCCGACCTGCCTACCGGAGACCAGATCTTCGCCAGGACCAAACCGAACTTCCCTATACAGTTTGGCAGGCAAGTTATTCTCTATTTTGATTTGAAATAGCAGACTAGTCCCAACCAGAGCAGGGAAAATAATTTCAGTACGCTGCTGCGGTTTTTTGATATACCCATCCTGGTATTCTTTCAATATGCTGATTAAATTAAACGCTATCATAAAATACCATAATATGCTGCCATATAATAGAGAAAACTGGACAAAAATTACCTGCAGTAGGTATTTCTCTAGTTTCGGCTTTTTTTGTTCAATACCTACAGTCCCACACAGTTGTCCTGTTGTTTTACTATTAAGTCTCTCTGTTGAAACTGAGAATGGGTTAATTTTGAATTTGTTTTTTTTTGCCAAGATAATTTTCATAAATTGTTTCAAAATAGGAAAGCTGTGTGTTTATTAAGCAATATGCATTTGTTTGTTTTGAGAACCAATGGTTTTGTTATCTTACCATTTCAACCCTCAATTGCGAATCGCCGCGAATTAAAATGACAAAATATTTCCAGGGATGTACTATCAGGCCCGCCGATCCTGAACTGCGACGACAAAGCAGACTGGCGGCAGTGTCTCCTCAGTCGGGAAGATGAGGAGATCTACGTCACGAAGTTCCGCGCCAAGTTCCGCCCCTACGACTTTACAGCGGATGACAGTGACAGCGACTGATCGGCGCGCACGGCAGTGCTGAGCCAAGTATGCTATCACTTGTATTCTTGTATGAGTAGTGGAATTTTAATAGATGCCTTTATAAAGCGATGGGTATATAGTTCCCACCATATTTTGAACTTTATTAGTTTGTCTTAAGGTTCAATAACTTTTTAAAAATATGTAAAATACAGCAATAAATTATTTTGATAAAATAAATAAATAAATTGATGCGATCGCGTTTTTAAACGAATAATGATTTGTACATAATGTGTCTCAATTAAGCGAAACAATAGAAAATTCATTTATAAATAATTTTGTATATTTTGTTGTCTAATTTAAGGAAACTGTTAGCAATAGGTACACTGCCGTGAAAGCCTTGTTCAATTAACCGTGTACAAAATATACTCACCATAGTTATTTTAGTACTGTTAGGAATGATATTTAAATTATAAAATAAACACATTTTCAAGTAAATGATTTTTTTATTTCGTTCACATCATACTGTCCTAATAACTCATTTGTTTGCTTTATAAAAACATATCTGTAACAACATGATTAACTAACCCTTACATTATTCATGTGTATCCACGTATAGTAACAAAACGTTTAAAAATGATATGGTACGTTGACTAGACGAGTCAGAATTCAAATGACTAGAATAAAAATGATAACATTAATATTTGCAAATATTTAAAACCTCGCTCGTGATCAAAACGAAATCGTTTCCAATTGCAAATAGTAATTTCATTAAAACCATTATCTCATTGACTACTAAAACTACATAATGATTTCGATTAACTAGCATTAGGTATTTGTGTCTAGATTATATAAAATAGATCTCAATTAAATATAGGGCAGTCTTCGTTGGAATTACTAAAGAGAGTCAACGCAAACGATTGTAAATCATTAAAAACCACACAACTCACGTAAAAATGTGTCTTTGAATACAAAACTCCGCGTTAAGTGTTCAACACTCATAAACTATGACTACAACATACTGATACACTTCAAATGTACATAGAGGTTCTTTTATTAGAAATTACCAAAATGACGAAGTCGATGGTTTTCTGTAGCGTGATTAAATCAATCTAATTTCGAACTTATTTGACATTTAATTAAGTTGGTTTTTGGTTATGCTGTGATTCAGTGCGAGGGGAAGTGTCACTTAGCCCCTCTCCTTCTTCTGGTTTAGTCAGATGTAGGAGCGATTTTGCAATAAAATTGTAGTGTCTTTACTTAGGCACCCACTAAATTACCAGCATGAATTTAGTAAATATTTGTAACTCATATAAAATTGATCTAATTGTGAAATTCGAAACCACGTGACTTTATGTCCTGACATTGAAACACTAGGGTGACAATTCGTTGTCAACCAATCTTAAAAGTTATAAGTGCGACCGATTTATGCTATTACACTTTTTTTATAAACTTCATAAAGAAGAAGAACAATTTGGCAAATTCTATTAAGAGATATACAAAGTTAACTTTCTGCCGTATTCACCAAAAAACTATAGGTAAAGTGTATTGTCTTGTGTTACTGTTTACTGAGGATCGTATATTACTAGTATGATTAATTCGACTATTAGTACTCGAGTATAAAGCGCGAATCTTAGAAAAATCTCTCGGATAGCGGTGGGTTAAGAAGTCACAGATTACAAACAAATGCATAGATTAAAGAGCAACCCGGCAATGTAACATTCAGAGCTATGTATAAAAATCGCGGGAAAATCTTCAAAATAGCGTGAATAAAACTATAACTGCGTCCACGTTATTTTGCATACACTTCATGATAATAAATTGCAATAGTTTTGCACAGTTGTCACATCACAAACGATTACTTCTACGATATAAATATTAATTTATTATGCACTTGGAAGTACCCAATTTACAAACTTCAAATCTTACTGTTATAGACAATGATAAGACATTTCAATGAAAACGTGTGTTTTCATAAACTTTACAACAATTAAACAATAATTTAAATATCGGATACGACTTTTCAATCGTACCCGCAACTAGTTTTAAGACTTTGGTCAATAAGGCATTAAGTTTAAAATATATTTTTAATTTTAATTATTGTTCTCCTTAGTTTTACATTCGATAGTCGTAAGTACACATTAATTACAATAATATTTACATAACGACTGGTGCGTTGCAATTGATTGAAATTAGACAATTTTTAAAGCTATTTCTTTATATTGATGGGTCATAATTTTATGGAAGCAGTGTCAAGTAATTTTGAAATTAATGGATTGTATTAGTAGATGCAGTAGTGGTTAGTAAAATTACTTTTATACTAATTTCAATTAATCACATCGGACCTACGGCAGAGAGCCCGAGTGTGGATATATTTGTCACACTTGTGGCGTTGTTTCACACCGTTCATTATACAATGTTATTAAAATACTCAATTTCGGAGTATAAAAATGATTATTGTATGCGCCACTAAAGAGTATTTGTAACCGTATTGACTATGTTTACCTAACTACACACTATATGTACAATATTATCAGCAGTACGATAATTCAGTGTTTTGGCAACGTTTCAGAAATAATTATTCTGAAGCATTAGACAATTAACGATAGAAAAACATAAGTAAATTAGTCCGCTCACCATTTGTCTATAAGTAAGAAAATTGAGCTTCAGTTGCGATTTAGCACATAATTTTTTTAAAAAGATGTAATATTTTTGTATTCATTTGCAAACACAAATGAAGAGGCCAATTTCGTTTGTTTGTTTTTAAGTATTTTAAAATTCGTCATAATACCTATTTTTTGTAATTTTAACGAGAAGTATATTTCAAGTACATTTGTCAAATGTGAAAAGAACAGGATCTTACAACTTCTGGACATTGGAGTTTACACCCTAATTGTTGATACAGAGGCCCTAGAGCGAATCGGAAAGATCTGGAGCTTTGACTTCGCCAGTACTCGAAATCTCAAGGTGCCCTAACCGGGCTATTTTAGGGCAGTCACTGCTTGCTAAAAATATAATATTTTACGGGAGAAAAATAAGAAGGAAGAAGAGTCCTCCATTGTTGATTCAGCTCCGCATTACCACGCAATGACGTCATAATTTACAAAATAGCCCACACCGGTGAGTACGTAAAGTGAATACAAATTCAAAGTGACCTAAAAGATCCCAGGTGTTAATCTGGAAGACCTTGTGCGCAGCTTGTGCTCTGAGCGTGGTAGTGGAATTAGTTCTTGGAGGGCGATTCCGTTCCCAAACTTGATTTTTAGCGTTAGTTGCATGTGCACAAGTATCTAATTAGTATCAAAACAGCCCGCTAGATATTAGTAGCCCTAGACGTTGATCTGGAAGGTCTGAGGCGTGGTGGTGGATTGAGATTTTGGGGATGCCCAAATTTTCATTTTTAGCGTTAGTTGCCCGTCAACGAGTACGTTACAAAGTGAGCCTGCTAGAGTAGTCTCAGAGGCCTCAGACGTTGATCTGGAAGGCCTCGCGTGGCTTGTGCTCGGCGTGGTGGTGGTGACGTTTGCGGCGCGCGNAGTATATTCCAAGTACATTTGTCAATGTGAAAAGAACAGGATCTTACAACTTCTGGACATTGGAGTTTACACCCTAATTGTTGATACAGAGGCCCTAGAGCGAATCGGAAAGATCTGGAGCTTTGACTTCGCCAGTACTCGAAATCTCAAGGTGCCCTAACCGGGCTATTTTAGGGCAGTCACTGCTTGCTAAAAATATAATATTTTACGGGAGAAAAATAAGAAGGAAGAAGAGTCCTCCATTGTTGATTCAGCTCGGCATTACCACGAAATAACGTCATAATTTACAAAATAGCCCACATAGGTGAGTATATTATAAAGTGAATATGAATTGAAAGTGGCCTCAAAGACCCCAGACGTTAATCTGGAAGACCTTGCGCGGCTTGTGCTCTGAGGCGTGGTAGTGCATTTAGTTTTTGGATGGAGATTCCGTTCCCAAACTTGGATTTTAGCGTTAGTTGCCTGTACCTAATTAGCATTAAAAGAGCCTGCTAGATATTAGTAGCCTCAGATGTTGATCTGGAAGGCCTGGAAGGTCAGAGCGTTGTGATGGATTTAGATTTTGGGGATGCCCAAATTTTCATTTTTTAGCGTTAGTTGCCCGTCAACGAGTACGTTACAAAGTGAGCCTGCTAGTGGTCTCAGAGGCCTCAGACGTTGATCTGGAAGGCCTCGCGAGGCTTGTGCTCGGCGTGGTGGTGGTGGCGCTTGCGGCGAGAAGGCGCGTCGCACTCCGTGTCGTCAGAGAAGCGCGACGGCGGGTGGATGCGCTCGTTGAACGACGGGTAGTTGGATATGCTGGAACCGACGGTCGATTTAGTCTTTGGGCGGGGATTCCCAGTTTCCCAAACTTTTGGCTTTTATGCGCATGCAGCATGTTGCTTTTAATAGGCTGGTCAATATCAACATCAAACATCGAAAACGCGTCTGTAACTAAGATTTAGTAGATAGGTCGCTTGAGGGTAGATTAAAGCTGTTGAACATTGATTTATAAGTAGCCAAAGTTATGGAAGCGGTTGTTGTGAAGACAATACGGATCACAGAATCAGTTACCTCATGAATCGCCCAAGTGGATCCATGAGCAAAGCTTTTCTAAAAATAACATTCTTCAGCGTTTCAATATTTAAACGCAGCGCAGATTATTCAGGAACTGATAGGAGATCGTTACTTTTAAAATAGTCGATGTATTCTCTCAATTTTTGACTGTAACGATGCGCTCAGGCGACACCAAAGGTCTGATTCCACAATCCGTATTCGACACTAACTTTACCTGAAGGTAGTCTCGTCGTTGTGGCTGCTGTAGCCACTAGAGGATCTCACGTGTCGCTTCCCGACGCCTGCCTTCCCCTTTCGGGAAGGGAAGGCCTTTCGGACCACACCTCCTACGGAGTTCTCTGATGAAGAGGAAGATTCTTCGCGCTCTACGCTCGGGTCTGGAATAGAGGGCAATGTAAATGCGGTGGTGAGGTTAGATGGGCAGTACCTTCTTTTCAGCTTGACGGTAGTAAACCACATTTTCTACATGTTTCGTGACTTTGTAGCCTAGGTATAACCGTTTCTGGAATGATCCTTCATCCTGTGCTACTTATCCATGTATTTGACTATTGGCAATAATGCTGTTCGATTTAGTTGTCTACGGTTCGATTTTTTACTCCAATTTATGGCGGTATTTGACACGTTGTTCTCTATTGGTTTTATTGTTTTATTGTCAATCTAATGCACGTTGGGCAAAGTATGCTACCTTGAGATGGACTGTTAACAAGTAGGCGGGTATGTATATTAGATATCGGATTGTTTCCTGTCGCTGTCAATGTTGTCAAAATGTCTCCAAGGTATGAGTATTTTTTGAGGGTATTTTGCTATGACGCGTTGGGCAAATTTTTGCCTTATCGCGATGGACTACTTGCGTAGGCCGCAGCCTGGCCGCCGGCTCGCTGTCGGAATGCCGCGCGCTGACGGTGTCACTCGCTGAAAGATGGGTCTGAGACGTGATTCTAATGTTTGACACGTAGTTTTTGGAGGTTTTGTTAATGTCAGTCGATTGGACAAAGTATGCCACCTTGAGATGGACTACTAACAAGTAGGGACGTGCGTAGGCCGCAGCCTGGCCGCCGTCTCGCTGTCAGATTCTTGTGTGGTTTCAATGTCTTCAAAAATGTTTGCTGTGAAATATCAGTGAGGCAGTCAGGGTATAGGGTTTTATATTTAGCGAGGTGAGCCAACGTTGGGCCATTTTCAGGATGGACTACTAACAAGTAGGAGGATGTGTAGGCCGCAGCCTGGCCGCCGGCTCGCTGTCGGAATGCGGCGCGCTGGCGTCGTCGCTCGCTGAATAATGGGTAAAGTATCAATACCATTTTAGGCTGGATTACACGTAGTTTTTGGAAATTTTGTTAATGTCAGTCGATTGGGCAAAGTATGCCACCTTGAGATGCACTACTAACAAGTAGGAGGATGAGTAGGCTCGCTGTCAGATTCTTGTATGGTTTCAATAATTTTAAAAAATGTCTCAAATATTTAGTAGCATTATGCCCGTTTTCACCACCAATCTCAAATTAGATTTGAACACAACAGGATTTTGTTTTCATAGGGGTCACTTGAAAATTAGGGTGGATTGATGAGTGAATTAGGGAATATCAGTGAGGCAGCCAGACTTTTGGGCAATGTAAACGTTTGCATCGTTGGGCAAAGTATGCCATTTTCAGGATGGACTACTAACAAGTGGGGGGATGTGTAGGCCGCAGCCTGGCCGCCGGCTCGCTGTCGGAATGCGGCGCGCTGGCGTCGTCACTCGCTGAACGAAGGTTAAAGTAGGTACCAATGCCATTTTGGGATCGATTACACGTAGTTTTTGGAAGTTTTGTTAAAGTCAGTCGATTGGGCAAAGTATGCCATCTTGAGATGGACTACTAACAAGTAAGTGCTTAAGCCGCAGCTTGGCGGCTGTTTCTTGTCGCTGTTAATGTAGTCAAAAATGTCTCCAAGGAATAAGTGGTTGTGGGGCATATTTCGCTATGAGACATTGGGCAAATTGCCTTATCGCGATGGACTACTAACAAGTAGGAGGATGTGTAGGCCGCAGCCTGGCCGCCGGCTCGCTGTCGGAATGCGGCGCGCTGGCGTCGTCGCTCGCGTCGTCCTCGTACTCTGTAATGGGCAGGTGCAGCGTTAGTATCTTCTTCACCTCCGAGTCCGTCGAGCCCAAGTTGTCCGACTCTGCAATGCAAACGGTTAGTCAGAGGGGGTAGAGGCGGTCAACAGCTGCTGTGTGGTGTCATGAAAGTGCCAATTGATGTGTTCTGATTTTGAGACTGAGAAGCTAGCCCCTGATTTCTAAGTTCGCCATCGTTATTTAATTGTATGATTAGCTATACGGCAAACAATTGCAGCAGCAGCGGAGTTTTGAGAAACTAAAATCGATAACTGTATTCGACATTTACAAGATTTGTTTTGTTTATTTATTTCCTCAATAAGGTTCAAGATCTTTTGCTTCAAGATTAAAGCTTTTGAGAAGAGGAACCAATTTTTGTGGACGAACTTAGAGAGAGGGTTATGAAATGAATGTCAAACTATTGCTATGACAATTTATGAATTTTATTAATTTCTTTATGGTGGCTTGGAGCCACTGCGTGTTATTTGTAATCAGATTATTATTAATTATTAGCTAAGTAATCGTCAATTTTTAATTGTTCGTGTTTAATTCCATAAAAGAAGCGTAATGATTTAGTATTATGTAAATATTTTCATGGCATCACAACAGCAGCGACTAAGTTGCACATGACACATGAAAAATGTAGGTATAATGCGGTGTTGTATAAATATGATCACAATGCCAGCGAGATTACACTAAAGCAAACAAAAAGCGCATGAGAAGAGAACAACATTCTGAAGCAGGGATATGGGATTTTACACTCTATTGATACGATGAAATGAACTACAATCAAAGAAACCAAATAAAACTGACGTATGTTACGGGCACTGACTTCTGTTTAATTAAAGTACTAACAGCCATTTGGCAAGAAACGAGTCAAAATGGCAAGAATCAGTTATGAAAGTGGCAGGAATCAATTATGAAAGTGGCGAGAATCAATTATGAAAGTGGCAAGAATCAATTATGAAAGTGGCAAGAATCAATTATTAAAATTGGCAAGAATCGATGCTCAAGTGGATGAAACCTTTTTTTAGTTTAGTACTGAAATAAAACAGTATTCAGTGGTTACGGTACATACAGTGCATGCTTACCTTTATAAATTATACACCATTTACGCTCCCATCAGGTTGCATAAAAGGCGATTAGTATGTCAAATTTTAATACTCAACGGGTAAAAGTAAATTATTAAACTTAATCAATAGAAGGTGCGGTCTACTAACGAAACTAATTAGTCTAACTACTTATAGACAAGCTGTTCGAATGTGATTGGTGGGCGTACCTTGGCTCTCAGAGTGAGGATCGCGGAGTCTGTTCCCTTTTCTTCTCACTTTCGTGTATTCTGGCTCTTTGCCCTGTTCAAAGAAATATACAATGAATTTAAACGGACTGTAGTTAGTACTTCAACATTCGTAAACGTAATGGAAAAGAATTTGGCTCATGTAAGTTAATCAACATTTCTAACTTGCAGAACCAATAAAATTTGTGACAGCTTGACGCTATACAAAGGAGCACTGCTATCCTGTTATAAGAAAATATGTTTGTTCAGCAGGAACTTCGCATCCGGACCTTGGCTTTTTTGACGCAAAATAGAGATATGCTCCTGCAGTGGAGATGCCTGTTGTTTAAGTAAGCGAGTTTTATCAATGAAACACGATTTGCCCGGAAGCTACTGCAAAAATTTACGTCACACGCTCCTAGGCCAGTAGTTATTCTATGGTCAGCTTGAAGTTGTCTTCCGTGTGTCCTGGATAGAGGTTGGAAAAAATAGATATTTTTCAATTTCGAATATTCGAATATTTTTTCAGCTATATTCGAATATTATTCGTAAAATTTGCGTCACAAGCTCCTAGGCCAGTAGTTATCCTATGGTCAGCTTAAAGAAGTTGTCTTATTTGTATTCTGGATGACTCACCTTATACTTGTCGTTCTGCTTCAAGTCGTGGTAGACAAAAGAACCCCTCACGGAGTGGTAAGGCCCGCTGTACACGTTGCTGCTGTAGACTTGGGTCAGTTGAGACATGACGTAGGGGCAGTTGTTTTCGTGTCTTTCTTTGTGTCTTGTGACTCACCTTATACTTGTCGTTTTGCTTCAAGTCGTGGTAGACGAAGGAGCCCCGCACGGAGTGGTAAGGCCCGCTGTACACGTTGCTGCTGTAGACTTGGGTCAGTTGAGACATGACGTAGGGGCAGTTGCTTTCGTGTCTTTCTTTGTGTCTTCGGACTCACCTTGTACTTGTCGTTTTGCTTCAAGTCGTGGTAGACAAAGGAGCCCCGCACGGAGTGGTAAGGCCCGCTGTACACGTTGCCGCTGTAGCTGCTCTCGCTGTAGGCCGTCGGCTTAGTCAGTTGGAACGTGGCGTACGGGCAGATGTCCTCTATGTATTCTGGAAGTGGCGACGAGAATTTGTAAGTTTTAGTTAACTAATTTTATTGATTGTTTGAGATGTGATTACAGAATTTCCCTCTATTGCATTGGAGCAGTGGATTTAATAAGTTAAAAAGGCGGTTAGTTACGTCAGTATTAAAAAGTGTTTTATTCTGGACACGTAGAAGACTTTAACCATTTAAACAGTGCTGAAATAAGTCGTTTTCAACCTCATGTCATATAAATAAAGTTTAAAATGCACCGACCGTTGCTAGCGTGCTTATAGTGGTGCGGCGGCGGCGGGTGTTGCGCGCGCGCCGCTAAGTACTGCTGGTCGCGGTTGACCTTGTTCTGCAGCTGTGCTACTGACGGCGACATATTATCAACCTTATGTCATGTTAATAGAGTTCACAATCCACCGACCGTTACTGGCGTGCTTGTAGTGGTGCGGCGGCGGCGGGTGTTGCGCGCGCGCCGCTAAGTACTGCTGGTCGCGGTTGACCTTGTTCTGCAGCTGTGCTACTGACGGCGACATATTATCAACCTTATGTCATGTTAATAGAGTTCACAATGCACCGACCGTTACTGGCGTGCTTGTAGTGGTGCGGCGGCGGCGGGTGCTGTGCGCGCGCCGCTAAGTACTGCTGGTCGCGGTTGACCTTGTTCTGTAGTTGCGCTACCGACGGCGACTCGCCTACGCCGCTCTCTGCCGCTGCCGTCTCTGTGCCACCTGATTCTGGATATACATAGAACAGAGATTATTTACAAACTAAAATTTGGCCATGTTAAAGGCCAGTCACATTGAAAAAGGACGTTCAGCTTTTTTGTTTTTAAAAAAGGGTGTTTTTTTTTTATGTGACAGGTGGCAAACGAGCAGACGGATCACCTGATGGTAAGTGATTACCGTCGCCCTTAACACCCGCAGACCCAGGGGCGTTACAGGTGCCTTGCCGGCCTTTAAGGTGAAGATACGCTCTCCTTTATTCAAAAGATCGTCCGAGTTTACTTATGTGACGACAAAATCAACAAAGACTACCACCGCGAGTTAACTTGCCAGCAACGCCATCTAGCGGTGAGTAGAGGTAAACTATTTCCGTATGGGTGATGTAGGTAACTAAGTGACGTATACAGACGCAGACATGCCACCGCCATTAGGGTACTGTAAAGGCTGTGGTAGTAGTACTGGAGCACTTACTATTCCGGCGCACCAGTAGCACGATGGCAATGAGCGCGCCAAGCACGAGCAGCGACAGCGCGGCCGGTAGTATGACGCGCGCGCCGCTCAGCGACCGTGCTCCGGCCGCCGGTACTGGCGGTGATAGCTCGCCGTCTAGCACTGGAAGATAACAGGACAAAATTAGGCCTAAATACGTATAGACCTTATCTAAATTGAGGGTCTATTCTACTTTGAACACCTGGATTAGATCACCCAGGTGATCAAAGTGGACTCCAGGCGACACTTTGGTGTCCTTTGATCATCCATGGAGAAGTAGTCCACTTTGATCACCTAAGTAATCTTATCCATAGGTGACCAAAGGAAGGGAAGGAATTCATAGACGAATAGACCAAATTGAGAGGTGGATTGAGCCATGCTCTGGCAAAAAGGCTTAGGCAGTCAGATGTAGTCAAATAACCACAAAAAAACAAAACAGCAAGTAGTCTCAAGTGATATCAGCACAGGGATCAACCGTGGTCATCAACTNATATTCTTAAGCGTTTCAATATTTAAACGCGGCGCAGATTATTCAGGAACTGATAGGAGATCGTTACTTTTAAAATAGTCGATGTATTCTCTCAATTTTTGACTGTAACGATGCGCTCAGGCGACACCAAAGGTCTGATTCCACAATCCGTATTCGACACTAACTTTACCTGAAGGTAGTCTCGTCGTTGTGGCTGCTGTAGCCACTAGAGGATCTCACGTGTCGCTTCCCGACGCCTGCCTTCCCCTTTCGGGAAGGGAAGGCCTTTCGGACCACTCCTCCTACGGAGTTCTCTGATGAAGAGGAAGATTCTTCGCGCTCTACGCTCGGGTCTGGAATAGAGGGCAATGTAAATGCTGTGGTGAGGTTAGATGGGGAAGTACCTTCTTTTCAGCTTGATGGTTTGCAAGTGGTCGCTTTGGATCTATTACAAAAAAATACTTTATTTAACAGTTGAGTCTATATATGTCACAAAGACATTGGTGCACCAGTGTTTGCTTTTACCGGTGGTGGTTTCCAATATTTTCTGAAATCGTTTATCTAACTAATCGCAACAATGTTCTTTTGTCTATTTTATTTAAAAGGGAGAAAAGATCACAGGACCTTTCATTTAAATTCCAGTCAGCACATTGTCGCTACTTTCTACCATATTATTGGAAAAAATAATTTTGACTGGCCGATATCGCAACTTTTTTTCCGGAGTTCCGTCAGTGGGATTCAAATGGGAAAGAATCATAGACGATTTTCAGCGGTATTGGGCGATCGACTGACGTGGTTCTTGGAGGGTTTTATGTAATTTTTTTAAGCAGTCATTGGGTAAAGTATGCCACCATGAGATGGACTACTAACAAGTAGGAGGATGCGTAGGCCGCAGCCTGGCAGCGGGTTCCTTTTTGGATTGTTTCTTGTCGCTGTCAATGTTGTCAAAAATGTCTCCAAGGTATGAGTGTTTTTGTAGGGTTTTGCTATAGGACATATTTTGATATGACACTTTGGGCAAGTATGCCACATGGGCAAGTATATAGGGTATTTGTATTTAGCGAGGTGAGCCAACGTTGGGCAATTTTCAGGATGGACTACTAACAAGTAGGAGGATGTGTAGGCCGCAGCCTGGCCGCCGGCTCGCTGTCGGAATGCGGCGCGCTGGCGCTGTCACTCGCTGAAAGATGGGTATGAGATGTGATTCTAATGTTTGACACGTACCTAGTTTTTGGAGGTTTTGTTAATGTCAGACGATTGGGCAAAATGTGCCACATTGAGATGGACTACTAACAAGTAAGTGCTTAAGCCGCAGCTTGGCAGCGGATTAGTAATCGGATTGTTTCTTGTCGCTGTCAATGTTGTCAAAAGTATCTCAGAGGTATGAGTGTTTTTTTTAGGGTTTTGCTATAGGATAAAATATTATTTTGTTATGACGCTTTGGGCAAGTATGCCACCTTGTGATGGACTACTAACAAGTAGGAGGATGAGTAACCCGCAGCCTGGCCGCCGGCTCGCTGTCGGAATGCGGCGCGCTGGCGTCGTCATTTGCCTAACCCAGCAGAGGGGTTTGCTGTGAAATATCAGTCAGGCAGTCAGGGTTTTGGGCAAAGTCAACGTTTGCAACGTTGGGCAAAGTATGCCACCTTGTGATGGACTACTAACAAGTAGGAGGATGTGTAGGCCGCAGCCTGGCCGCCGGCTCGCTGTCGGAATGCGGCGCGCTGGCGTCGTCGCTCGCTGAACGATGGGTAAAGTATCAATACCATTTTAGGCTGGATTACACGTAGTTTTTGGAAATTTTGTTAATGTCAGTCGATTGGGCAAAGTATGCCACCTTGAGATGCACTACTAACAAGTAGGAGGATGAGTAGGCTCGCTGTCAGATTCTTGTATGGTTTCAATAATTTTAAAAAATGTCTCAAATATTTAGTAGCATTATGCCCGTTTTCACCACCAATCTCAAATTAGATTTGAACACAACAGGATTTTGTTTTCATAGGGGTCACTTGAAAATTAGGGCGGATTGATGAATGAATTAGGGAATATCAGTGAGGCAGCCAGACTTTTGGGCAATGTAAACGTTTGCATCGTTGGGAAAAGTATGCCACCTTGTGATGGACTAACAAGTAGGAGGATGTGTAGGCCGCAGCCTGGCCGCCGGCTCGCTGTCGGAATGCGGCGCGCTGGCGTCGTCACTCGCTGAACGAAGGTTAAAGTAGGTACCAATGCCATTTTGGGATCGATTACACGTAGTTTTTGGAAGTTTTGTTAAAGTCAGTCGATTGGGCAAAGTATGCCATCTTGAGATGGACTACTAACAAGTAAGTGCTTAAGCCGCAGTTGGCGGCTGTTTCTTGTCGCTGTTAATGTAGTCAAAAATGTCTCCAAGGAATAAGTGGTTGTGGGGCATATTTCGCTATGAGACATTGGGCAAATTTTTGCCTTATCGCGATGGACTACTAACAAGTAGGAGGATGTGTAGGCCGCAGCCTGGCCGCCGGCTCGCTGTCGGAATGCGGCGCGCTGGCGTCGTCGCTCGCGTCGTCCTCGTACTCTGTAATGGGCAGGTGCAGCGTTAGTATCTTCTTCACCTCCGAGTCCGTCGAGCCCAAGTTGTCCGATTCTGCAATGCAAACGGTTAGTCAGACGTGGTAGAGGCGGTCAACAGCTGCTGTGTGGTGTCATGAAAGTGCCAATTGATGTGTGTTCTGACTTTGATTGAAACTGAGAAGCTTAGCCCCTGATTTCTAAGTTCGCCATCGTTATCGAACTTTATGATTGGCTGCACGTCTACCAATCGCAGCAGTTCTATGTTGAAAATATTTTAAAATTCAGCGGAATTTTGAGGAATTAAAATGGATAAGCTATAGCGTCATTTCAGCGTTATATTGTTCCTTTGTTTCCTCAACTTCAAGATTTTAATTTTTGAGAAAAATTAAACATTTTTTGTGGACGAACTTAGAAAGAGGGTTATGAAATGAATGTTAAACTATACAGCTATGACAATTTGTTAATTTAATATAATTCTTTATGGTAGCTTTGAGCCACCGCGTGTTATTTATTTATAATCAGCTTATTGAACTAATCGCCAATTTTAATATTATGTTCGTGTTTAATTCCATTGAAGAAGCGTAATGATTTAGTATTATGTAAATATTTCATGGCATCACAACAGCAGCGACTAAGTTGCACATGACACATGAAAATGTATATGCGGTGTTGTATAAATATGATCACAATGTCAGCGAGATTACACTAAAGCGAACAAAAAGCGCATGAGAAGAGAACAACATTCTGAAGCAGGGATATGGGATTTTACACTCTATTGATACGATGAAACGAACTACAATCAAAGAAACCAAATAAAACTGACGTATGTTACGGGCACTGACTTCTGTTTAATTAAAGTACTAACAGCCATTTGGCAAGAAACGAGCCAAAATGGCAAGAATCAGTTATGAAAGTGGCAGGAATCAATTATGAAAGTGGCAAGAATCAATTATGAAAGTGGCAAGAATCAATTATGAAAGTGGCAAGAATCAATTATTAAAATTGGCAAGAATTGACGCTCAAGTGGAAGAAACTTTTTTTAGTTTAGTACTGAAATAAAACAGTATTCAGTGGTTACGGTACATACAGTGCATGCTTACCTTTATAAATTACACACCATTTACGCTCCCATCAGGTTGCATAAAAGGCGATTAGTATGTCAAATTTTAATACTCAACGGGTAAAAGTAAATTTTAAACTTAATCAATAGAAGGTGCGGTCTACTAACGAAACTAATTAGTCTAACTACTTAAAGACAAGCTGTTCGAATGTGATTGGTGGGCGTACCTTGGCTCTCAGAGTGAGGATCGCGGAGTCTGTTCCCTTTTCTTCTAACTTTCGTGTATTCTGGCTCTTTGCCCTGTAAAAAAATATTATATTGATTCTTAACGGACTGTAGTTAGTACTTCAACATCCGCATTGCGCAAAAGGAAATATAAATTTGGCTCTTGCCAATGTCATTAAAATGTTTTAGTAAGTTACCGAGGGCCTAGTGCGAGTTTACATCAAACGCGTTCACTAGTGAGCGCGTCAAAAAATGACATTAAATGTATGACGGATTGTACAGCGCCCCTAGCGGGAAACGTTCAAAAACTAAAATTTTCATACATTTTTAAACGCGTTCACTTGTGAGAGTTGCCACTGTAGACTTGGGTCAGTTGAGACATGACGTAGGGGCAGTTGCTTTCGTGTCTTTAGGTCGACGTCACCTAGGGACATCACGTATGACGCACGAATAACGCGTATCTTAGATATTGGCTTTGTAAATTTGGCTGGCGAGAATTACAGCACCTGTTTTAATACAGTCCGCTATTTTTTTTCACTAATATTTGTTAGGACCCTAAAATGGTCCTTCGAGCCGGATTATTTGCGATATTGCCGCTGTAACCTTGGGTCAGCTGAGACGTGACGTAGGGTCTTTGTGTCTTGTGACTCACCTTGTACTTGTCGTTCTGCTTCAAGTCGTGGTAGACAAAGGAGCCCCGCACGGAGTGGTAAGGCCCGCTGTACACGTTGCCGCTGTAACTGCTCTCGCTGTAGGCCGTCGGCTTGGTCAGTTGGAACGTAGCGTAGGGGCAGATGTCCTCTATGTATTCTGGAAATGGCGACGAGAATTTTAAGTTTAACTTAAAATGTGAGGTTGTGCGGCGGTATATGGCTGCTATTTTTCTAGAATTAACTCTATCGACAGCCTGCACACGGTCGAGACTAGGGCATGTAATATCGGAAGGTTTTCAATTCCGATATTGAATTCCGATATTAGATCTCAATATCGGAATTCCGATATTAATATCGGAATTGAGTTCATGTGCTATAAAATTAATATTTGGTTATATTCGTAAGAATTCTGGATTGTTTACAATAAAATAATTATTGTAATCAAAATCTTTAATTTGGTACAAAACAGCACTTCATAAAATTGAAGTATTTTAAAACCATTTTTACGTTATGGGTATCCATTGCATTTGGTTTTTTATGTGACAAGAGGCAAACGAGCAGACGGATCACCTGATAATGAATGGTTACTGATAATGAGCTTATATGGACTAGCAAATAATTAAAGTGTTTTTGTAAAATCACAGGTATCAAACAAACTTTTACTCCTTCATTATATTACCCTGTTTTATGTTGGCGGAACGAATTTTAGAGTCATTCAAATCACGTGCTACAAAAATTGTAGAGAGTGGTAAAAAACTTGAATATGCTTGTAATTTGTTCCTTTTTGATTATCGATGTACAACTCACAAAACCACGGGCCATCATCATCATCATGTCAGCCATAGGACGTCCACTGCTGAACACAGGCTCCGATAATGATTTTCACAATGGCCGGTTGGTGGCGGCCTGCATCCAGCGCCTTCCTGCTACCTTTATGAGGTCGTCGGTCCACCTTGTGGTTATGAGTCCTACGCTGCGCTTTCCGGTACGTGGCCTCCACTTCAGAACCTTGCTGCCTCATCGTCCGTCTGTTTTGCGTACTAAGGCAGAACCGTTGGAAGACCTTATCACAATGCTCGAAGACCTTAATCAAGTTTCCCAACAGGTAGGCCTTCGGATGAATATGGAAAAAACGAAGCTTATGTCGAATGTCCATGTTGCTCCTTACCCAGTTTCGGTTAGGAGCTCGATTCTCGAGATTGTTGACAAGTAAGTATATGTCTATCTCAGACAAACGATCAGCTAGGTAGTTAGATGCAATTTCGAGAAAGAGGTAAATCGTCGAATACGAAGACGAAAGTCTTCAATTAGTGTGTGTTACCAGTGATGATATACGGCTCGAAAACGTGGCCTTTGAATATAGGGCACAACGTGCTATGGAGAGGGATAAGCTTGGTGTTTCTTTACGAGATCTAATCAGAAATGAGGAGCTCCGTAAACTAAGGTCGCTGACATAGCCCGACGGATTATCAAGCTGAAGTGGCAATGGGCAGGGCACATAGTAGTTAGTACGCAGAACTGACGGTCCATAGTCCAGTAAAATTAATGTTTGAAAGGGAGTTGATATGTCGTTCTTTGTTGACCAAGTACCTATGGCAAATGCTAAAATTGATTTAGAACAAGTTAAATTAACCATAGATAGTAAAGATATTAAAATATTTGCAGTGGAACAAAAAGTGATGGTGAGAGACATGAGAAAATCATTGGTCTTTGCCAATCATGTACTTTGGGCTTTGTGGCAGGTTGTGGCGAGTTTAAACGCTTTGTTTAAAATCTCAATTAAAACTTTTATCTGATTCCGATATTACGATATTGGGTCGCTCAATATCGGAATTGAAATATCGGATCTCGCAGTCCGAGATTCCGATATTACGAGATTCCGAGATTCCGATATTCATGCTCTAGTCGAGACTTAATATCGTGTTTTGTTTTTTGTTCGGTCATACTCTTTAACCCTTTAAACAGTGCTGAAGTAAATATTGCTGTCTTTTTCAACTTTAACACGAGTGTTATTTGATTTTATTTAGATATAAATAAAATTCAAAACAGAATGCACAGCCAATGGCAGAGCAGAGCCGGCAAAATGCCACGGGCCCTTAACCTGAGCGGGCCCCGGTTCAAGACCCTAATCGCACCCACACCCTCGCGATAGTTCCGGGCCCCCTCTGAAAATAATGCCAAGGGCACACAGTGCACAGAATTTGCCACGAGCCTCGGTTGGTATAGTTACGCCACTGTGCATAGCTCATAACGTGACTTACCATTACTGGCGTGCTTGTAATGGTGCGGCGGCGGCGGATGCTTCGCGCGCGAGGTTAAGTACTGCTGGTCACGGTTGTTGTATCGTTTTCAACTTAAACATTATCTAAAAAAAGTTCAAAACAGAATGCACATCCCAGCACGTGACTTACCGTTGCTCGAGTGCTTATAGTGGTGCGGCGGCGGCGGGTGCTGTGCGCGCGCCGCTAGGTACTGCTGGTCGCGGTTGACTTTGTTCTGCAGCTGTGCTACTGACGGCGACACATTATCGATCTTATGTAATGTTAATAGAGTTCACAATGCACCGACCGTTACTGGCGTGCTTGTAGTGTAGCGGTGGCGGCGGGTGCTGTGCGCGCGCCGCTAAGTACTGCTGGTCGCGGTTGACCTTGTTCTGTAGTTGCGCTACTGATGGCGACACATTATCGACCTTATGTAATGTTAATAGAGTTCACAATGCACCGACCGTTACTGGCGTGCTTGTAGTGTAGCGGTGGCGGCGGGTGCTGTGCGCGCGCCGCTAAGTACTGCTGGTCGCGGTTGACCTTGTTCTGTAGTTGCGCTACTGATGGCGACACATTATCGACCTTATGTAATGTTAATAGAGTTCACAATGCACCGACCGTTACTGGCGTGCTTGTGCTTGTAATGGTGCGGCGGCGCTAAGTACTGCTGGTCGCGGTTGACTTTGTTCTGCAGCTGTGCTACTAACGGCGACACATTATCGACCTTATGGAGTGTTAATAGAGTTCACAATGCACCGACCGTTACTGGCGTGCTTGTAGTGGTGCGGCGGCGCTAAGTACTGCTGGTCGCGGTTGACCTTATTCTNACTCGTTCTGTGGCCTGCACGCTGTTCGATACTAGACGCCACTAAAATGATGAATGACTCAGTTTTAGAAAGAAAGAAAATTAAAGTATTTATTCGTTGCAAGTACAAAATAAAATAACAATTAGATATAATAAAACCAAACAGTAAGGTACGGTCAACAGCACGTCAACGTAAACACTGTGGTATCTTACGTAGTTGCGATACGGGCGACTTTGCAACGAAAATGTATAGCTTGATGTGCTGTCGACTGTATATGCACCAAAATGGCAACTGCTCAGTATAAGCCGTGACGGAAGAGAGCGCGTCACGAGCACTGGTATTCTGCTGGCAGTTTAGCAAAAGGGTCGATGATTTCTTACCGACATGTTACAGGTTAGATAGCTGAATATGATATTTGAAAATTACCTGCGATTGACTGATCTCCCTGTACTCGATGACGAAGTAAAGAATGCCGCAACCACCGTCTCCCCACGAGTCCAACCACACGGTTACCGTCGTTGTGTTTAGTGTTATCATTTGGGAATGTTTGGGTTTTACTGGAACTGAAAAGAAACACAAAAATTTTGGGCACCTCTGTTCTACATCAGGTATGATTGAGCAAAAGTGTGGGGAGCTCTAAGGTATGTTCATTTACCTGTGCCTTTAGTGTAAGCATGAACGATGTCACACGGCAGTCCAGTGCCGATCCTATTGAAGGCGGTAATGTACAGTTGGTAGCGAGTCCCGCACCAAAGGTTCGGCAACACGTGCTCCGAAGTGCCCGCTTCCACTTGCAACTCCTCCCAGTCGCCGTGCTCGCGTTTGTAATTTATTACGTATCCTGAAAGAATATAACGTTTATCAATCTCATCTCGTAAGTGGATGTTCTCTACTGAACAGGTTTAGTTGCTGCTATCGACGTATTTTCCAGTATTGTATTCGACAAAGGCTTGACTATTCTTGACTTAGCAATAATAGGACTGGTAGCTCCACAGCAAGTGCAGAGAATCTGCGTACGAGTCTACCGCGGCCAGAACTGACGGCTGCGGAGGAACCTTCACTTCCACGCTGTAGGTGACCCCATCTCACCCTCAATAAGGTTGAAGAAACAGTATCTTAATAGTGTGCAAGGAGTGCAGGGAGTCTGCATACGAGTCTACTACTGCCAAAACCGGTGGCTGCTGAGGAACCTTCACCTCCACGCTATAGGTGACCTTATTTGGTCCTCAATAAGGTTCAAAATACTGGGGTAAAAGTTAGAATAAATATCTTGACTTACCAAGAATAGGACTGCCCCCATCGCCCTGATCACTCCACTGTAGGTGCAAGGAGTCTGCATACGAGTCTACCACTGCTAAGACCGGTGGTTGAGGTGGAACCTTCACTTCCACGCTGTAAGTGACTTCGTCTCTTCCGTGGATGTTTTCAACTGAACAGGTGTAGTTGCCGCTATCGGCGTATTGGGTCATGCTGTTGAGGTAAAATAGTTTTACGGTTATTCATGTTGTTTCATGTGAGAGATGTATCAGTCATAATATGTGGTTCGTATTTGCAATAGAACTTATTACCACAGCTTAAATAAAGGGATAGGAACAAGGTGAGATATAAGAGCAGGTTACAGAATTGGTATTTGGATTTTTGATACCATTGAAATTTTCGGGAATTCGTAACATACCTAATAACCAGGGTTCCATCGTTGCTAACGTTCTTCCTCAGTGTGGATTCCAAAGTAGCGCCATTCATACTCCAAATGGTAGAAGGCGTGGGTACGCCAACTTTGTTACAGGATAGGGAGATGTTCTCCTTCCAAGGGGTGACGATACTGCGGCTGAACGATGTTATTCGCGCGGGAACTAGAATGAATAATTGTCAAACGTGTGAGACAAAGTAAACGTTTCTAAAGGAAAAGTTTTGTAAAGACCATCATTTAATACTGGACTATTCGGGAAGAGTTGTAAAGATATATTTTACTTAGTCGAATACCTAACAAAGAACCGAAGCTATGACCAACTTCTTGGAAAATCTTACCAGAATCCGAGGGTAGCACAGTGACGACCCTGGTAGTCTCTCCCTCGCCAAGCCTCGTGGACGTTGAGACCCAGAACTGGTGCGTCGCCCTCGGAGGCGACCGCGACGCCTCGTGGGAGAGCGTACTGGGCGACAATATCCGAAGATTTACGCTATGATCAATTTGATGGTACTTCTTACCAGAATCCGAGGGTAGCACAGTGACGACTCTGGTAGTCTGTCCCTCGCCAAGCCTCGTGGACGCTGAGACCCAGAACTGATGCGTCGCCTACGGAGGAGACCGCGACGTCTCGTAGGAGAACTTGATGGGCGACAATATTAGTCTGAAGGTCTATCTATGCTGTGATGAATTTGATGGAGCTTCTTACCAGAATCCGAGGGTAGCACAGTAACGACCCTGGTAGTCTCTCCCTCGCCAAGCCTCGTAGACGCTGAGACCCAGAACTGGTGCGTCGCCCTCGGAGGCGACGCGAAGTCTCGTGGGAGAACTTGATGGGCGACAATATCAGTCTGAAGGTCTATCTATGCTATGATGAATTTGATGGAACTTCTCACCAGAATCCGAGGGTAGCACAGTGACGACCCTGGTAGTCTCTCCCTCGCCAAGCCTCGTGGACACTGAGACCCAGAACTGGTGCGTCGCCCTCGGAGGCGACCGCGACGTCTCGTGGGAGAACTTGATGGGCGACAATATCTGAAGGTCTATGCTATGATCTACTTGATGGAAGTTCTTACCAGAATCCGAGGGTAGCACAGTGACGACCCTGGTAGTCTCTCCCTCGCCAAGCCTCGTGGACGCTGAGACCCAGAACTGGTGCGTCGCCCTCGGGGGCGACCGCGACGTCTCGTGGGACAGCGTGCTGGGCGACAGCATGCGTTTGTGGGTGCCCTCCTTGGAACAACGGTGACACCTTATTCAGATCTTTGGTGTGCGGGAAGGAGCATGCAGTGGTTTAAAATGTATTCATATTTTAGGGGTAGATAGTGACTATATTTGGAAGGTTTCTACAAAAACTATAAAAAGGAAAGAAATATTGTAAGTAAAAATAATCCTATTAATCTAAAATATATGAAATCACAAAAGGTTTATTTTCCATTTAACATTTATTTTGTTACTACATACTTAATATAGTAGAATCACATCATTTTGAAAGCGCTTTACGATTCTGGTTGACATGATCATCATCAGGTCATTTAGTTTCACAAGCTCTCAAGGATTTGACCTACACTCCCCATTCTAGCCAAATACTTAAATTGAGGAGGCCTGATGTTTGTATATTTATCCCATAATCACCATTTACGACATGTAAGGAAAGATTATGTCCTATTCCTGATAGATATCTAAAAGAGTATTTTATACTAAAGTAATAAGTGGATGCACTCACTTCTCTGCCGTCTTCAATGACGCTCATATACAGCGTGTATCCAACCAGCACTCCGTTAGGGGCGGCGGGAGGCAGCCACGAAACCAGGATCTTGTTTCGGGAGGACACCACTGCTTTTATGTCTGCTGGCGCCGAGGGAACTAGAAAATAAGAAACGTTTTGAGTCTTATGTTGATGGCAATAAGATGTTAGCGTGTGTAACAGCACGTTGACGTCACAATTGCAATCGCTTCAAACTACACAGTAGAAAAGAGGGAGTCGATTGTAAGTAGGTCTCAAGTTATCGCACTCAAGAATGCTCCCATATTTGTAACAGCTTCTGTTACTATATTAAGGTTCGTTCGTTTCAGCCAAATAACGTCCTCTGCTGGACAAAAGGCTTTCCATAACGACCGGTCCTGCGATGCCCGCATCCAGGTTCTTCCCGCGTCATCGGTCCATCTAGTAATCTAGTAGGACGTCCATCCATGCTACGTCTTCCGGCCCGTGGTTGCCACTCGAGAAATTTTCTGCCCCAACGGTAACTTACAGTGACGGTAACTAATGTAAACTTTTCCAATTTTTGCGCCATTGTCATGATATCTACCAGGACTCACCATCTTCTTCCGTATGGCAGTAGACCGGGGCAGCCCTGACTCCGTCCCCCGCTGCGGTAAAGGCGCAGACTGTCACAGAGTAGTTTGTGTAGCGACGCAGCCCTGACAGCGTGGTGTGCAGACCCGATATTTGCTTGGTCACTGCGTCTTCGTTTCCTAGAGATTCGAAGAAATGCTTACATGAATTTAGACTTCAAGAAGTTGATCAAGCTGTTGTGAGATTGTTAATTTAATCACAAGAATTGGATTCTGTACTTTAATTTGGACTTTTCGAAGGGGCTCGAACTAAGCAACTCTCGACTCATTAGTACGACATGAAAACTTTTGGGTCATTGTCGTCTCATTAGTTCCAATATATTTTATCTCAGCAATAAGAAACAGGAAAAGAAGAAGATACCAAGGTAGAACTTGGTGAAAAAGGTCAAAGTACTTACCATACCAGTCGGTGACAGGAGCATACGTGACCCTGTATCCTTGAAGTACGCCGTTGCGCCCGCGCATTGGCGGTGGTTCCCAGGATACACGCACAGATTGAGAGCTCACTGCTGTACACTGGAGAGACCCTGGTGGTAGGCTCGGTACTGAAAAGTATTTTAAAATGGTTTTTAACTCTATCATCCTGTGTCTTTGAAAATTATAAATAACTTGAAAAAATCGAACTGCCTAAGGCGGGAATTGAACCCACGAAATTAAATATTTGCAACAATATTTCNTTCGGCTGAAACGAACGAACGAACGAAATAACACAATAATCAAACAATACTCCAACAGGTGGTCTACACAAAACTTTAAAACTGTAGCTAGTGGTCCATAACCCCAAAGGATTAGACTTCAATCCACTCACCTGTGCCTTTAGTGTATGCATGAACGATATCACACGGCAGTCCAGTCCCGATCCTATTGAAGGCGGTAATGTACAGTTGGTAGCGAGTCCCGCACCAAAGGTTCGGCAACACGTGCTCCGAAGTGCCCGCTTCCACTTGCAATTCTTCCCAGTCACCGTGCTCGCGTTTGTAATTTATTACGTATCCTGAAAGAATATAATGTTTGTCAATCTCATCTCGTACGTGGATGTTCTCTACTGAATAGGTTTAGTTGCTGCTATTGACGTATTTTCCTGTATTGTATGCAACAAAGGCTTGAATACTCTTGACTTAGCTAATACTGATAGCTCTACTGCAAGTGCAGAGAATCTGCATACGAGTCTACTACCACCAGGACTTGTAGTTGAGGAGGAAGCTTCACCTCTATGCTATTATGTGACCTTATCTGGTAAGCAACAAGGTACAAAATGATGTGGCAAAACGATAAGATACCTACCAAGAATAGAACTCCCCCCATCGCTCCACTGCAGGTGCAGGGAGTTTGCACACAAGTCTACTACCGCCAAATCCGGTGGCTGCTGAGGAACCTTCACCTCCACGCTATAGGTGACCTTATTTGGTCCTCAATAAGGTTCAAAATACTGTGGTATAAGTTAGAATAAATATCTTGACTTACCAAGAATAGGACTGCCCCCATCGCCCTGATCACTCCACTGTAGGTGCAAAGAGTCTGCGTATGAGTCTACCACGGCTAAGACCGGTGGTTGAGGTGGAACCTTCACTTCCACGCTGTAGGTGACCTCGTCACGTCCGTGGATGTTCTCAACTGAACAGGTGTAGTTGCCACTATCGGCGTATTGGGTCATACTGTTGAAGAAAAGAGTTAATTATGATTTTTATATGCAGTGGGAATAAGGACTTCAGTTATTTATGTTTGTTCGTTTTAGCCAAATGTGGGCAGCGCAGTTAAAAATCATTGGGGGAGGCCTTTGTCCAGTTGTGGACGTTATTATATTATTACTAGCTGACCCGGCGAACTCTGTTCCGCCTTAAAGGCAATAAATAAGCCATCGCATTTTTTCCTTATTTGCTCACCGTTTAGACCTACCCTGGACTACGACAAACATTTTAAAACCAAAATCAGCTCAATCGGCCCAGCCGTTCTCGAGTTTTAATCAGACTAACGAACATCAATTCATTTTTATTTATATAGATAGATAGATATAGATTACGTAGCCCGTACTATCAAATAAAGATAACAGTTCAAAGAGCGGTGTCTGGAAGTTTATTCGTTGCTTACCTAATAACAAGAGTCCCATCGTTGCTAACATTCTTCCTCAGTGTGGATTCCAAAGTAGCGCCATTCATACTCCAAATGGTAGAAGGCGTGGGTACACCAACTTTGTTACAGGACAGAGAGATGTTCTCCTTCCAAGGGGTGACGATGCTGCGGCTGAATGATGTTATTCGTGCGGGCACTAGAATGAATTGTTAAACGTGTGAGAAAAAGTATACTTACTCGTACTAACTAAAGAAAAAGGATATAAAGACTAGAATCATTGACTGGACTCGTGGGTAAAAGAGCTAAAAGTGCCGCCCTCAGGGGGTGACAGCAATGTCTCGTGGGAGAGCGTTGGGCGACAATATCCGAAAGTTTATGCTATGATGAATTTGATGGGCTTGATGGGCGACAATATCTGAAGGTCTATGCTATGGTGAATTTGATGGAACTTCTTACCAGAATCCGAGGGTAGCACAGTGACGACCCTGGTAGTTTCTCCCTCGCCAAGCCTCGTGGACGCTGAGACCCAGAACTGGTGCGTCGCCCTCGGAGGCGACCGCGAAGTCTCGTGGGAAAGCTTGATGGGGGACAATATCTGAAGGTCTATGCTATGATCAATTTGATGGTACTTCTTACCAGAATCCGAGGGTAGCACAGTGACGACCCTGGTAGTCTCTCCCTCGCCGAGCCTGGTGGACGCTGAGACCCAGAACTGGTGCGTCGCCCTCGGAGGCGACCGCGACGTTTCGTGGGAGAGCGTACTAGGCGATAATATCCGAAGATCTACGTTATAATCAACTTGATGGAAGATCTTACCGGAATCCGAGGGTAGCACAGTGACGACTCTGGTAGTCTCTCCCTCGCCGAGCCTCTCCTCGAAGTCTCGTGGGAGAGCTTGATGGGCGACAATATCTGAAGGTCTATCTATGCTATGATGAATTTGATGGAACTTCTCACCAGAATCCGAGGGTAGCACAGTGACGACCCTGGTAGTCTCTCCCTCGCCAAGCCTCGTGGACGCTGAGACCCAGAACTGGTGCGTCGCCCTCGGAGGCGACCGCGACGTCTCGTGGGACAGCGTGCTGGGCGACAGCATGCGTTTGTGGGTGCCCTCCTTGGAACAACGGTGACACCTTATTCAGATCTTTGGTGTGCGGGAAGGAGCATGCAGTGGTTTAAGTGTATTCATATTTTAGGGGTAGATAGTGACTATATTTGGAAGGTTTCTACAAAAACTATAAAAAGGAAAGAAATATTGTAAATAACAATAATCCTATTAGGTAATCTAAAAAATATGAAATCACAAAAGGTTTACCTATTTTCCATTTAACATTTATTTTGTTACTAACTACATAATTATAGTAGAATCACATAATTTTAAAAGCGCTTTACGATTCTGGTTGACATTATCATCATCAGGTCATTTAGTTTTACAGCAGGAGTAAATCTCAAGGATTTGACCTACACTCCTCATTCTGGCCAAATAAGTTGAGGAGGCCTGATGTTTGGACATTTGCCCCATAATTGCCATTTACGACATGCACGGAAAGACTATGTCCTATTCCTGATAGACATCTAAAAGAGTATTTTATACTGAAGTAATAAGTCGATGCACTCACTTCTCTGCCATCCTCAATGACGCTCATATACAGCGTGTATCCAACCAGCACTCCGTTAGGGGCGGCGGGAGGCAGCCACGAAACCAGGATCTTGTTGCGGGACGACACCACTGCTTTTATGTCTGCTGGCGCCGAGGGAACTGTAGGTAAAAATAGTTTTGAAACTTATGTTGAAGGCAATAAGTTGCTAAATGCTAGCGTGTAAAACAGAACATTGATGTAATAATCAATCGTTTCTGCCTACACAGTAGAAAAGAGTGGATTCCAAATAGGTCTCAAGTTATCGCACTCAAGTACTTTGTATGCTGTCTTCTTTGTAACAGCTTCTGTTACTATAATTAAGGTTCGTACGTTTCAGCCAAATGACGTCCAATGCTGGACAAAGGTCTCCCCCAAGGTTTTCCATAAAGACCGGCCCTGCGATGCCCGCATCTAGGTTCTTCCCGCGACCTTCACCAGATCATCGTTCCACCTAGTAGAAGGCCTGCCCACGCTACGTCTTTCGGCCCGTTGTTGCCACTCGAGAACTTTTCTGCTCCAACGGTAACTTACAGTGACGGTAACCAATGTAAACTTTTCCAAATTTTGCGCAATTATCATCATATCTACCAGGACTCACCATCTTCTTCCGTATGGCAGTAGACCGGAGCAGCCCTGACTCCGTCCCCCGCTGCAGTAAAGGCGCAGACTGTCACAGAGTAGTTTGTGTAGCGACGCAGCCCTGACAGCGTAGTATGCAGACCCGATATTTGCTTGGTCACTGCGTCTTCGTTTCCTGGAGATTGGAAGAAAGTCTTACTTGGATTACTTGGTAGGTAAATTATGATGTTCATCAAGCTGTTGTGCGATTGTGTTGTGAGTTTAGTTTAGTTACGAGGATTGTGTACATTCTACTGTAGGTACTCGTACCTACTTTAATTTGATCCCCGAAATAGTTTAGCGGTCGATGGTATGGTATCGGTCGAACCAAGAGTGACCTTCGAATAAATAGACCGACATCAAAACTAAGTAACTAGGCTATTGTCGTCTCATCAAATTATTTTAACAAAATCGATCACGATACCAATCTCAGCAATAAGAAACACGAAAAGAATAAATAGTGCGTACCAAAAGACATAAAGGTATACTAACCATACCAGTCAGTGACAGGAGCATACGTGACTCTATATCCTTGTAGCACGCCGTTGCGCCCGCGCATTGGCGGCGGTTCCCAGGATACACGCACAGATTGAGAGCTCACTGCTGTACATTGGAGAGACCCTGGTGGTAGGCTCGGCACTGAAAAGTATTTTAAAATGGTTTTTAACTCTATCATCCTGTGTCTTGTCTTCCGCAATTTGCAAGAAAAAACACCTTTGGTAACACCGTTCATTGTTATCGCAATTCATAGCACTCACCATCTTCCATAGTAGTGGCAGTGGTGGGAGGGGACGCAGGTCCAGCGCCTCTGCTATTATAGGCCTGGACTACAATAGCGTAGGCAGCGTGCTTCTGCAATCCCGATAGTGTAGTCCTGGCTCTAGCCGTGCCTGCCCCTTCTACTGTTCGCACGGTGTATGAGGCGCCGCCCGGGCCGCTCGCGCTTAGGATTGTACTGTTGCTGTTCAGCTGAAATTAATTAAAATGGGTACTTGAATAGGGCACAAAGGTATTCTCCTGCAGTTAGCCTTGGACCAAGCAGATTTAGAGTAGGCATTATAATGGTTAATTTATTGAATGGATGCACGGATACTTTTACTAATGGCACAGAATAATAATAAGTACTACGTACAGAAGTTTTACTTCGCGAAGGTATTTAAAAAAATGTATGCTCAATGTTATTAACAATATGGTGTAATTTAGCCTGTCTCAAGAGTCAAGCACCATTTTGTTGACAAACGTCAGTGATCGGCACTGCACCGAAGCTATAGGGCTGACTTCGGTAAAATTATGTGATGTGAGGTGCCAAACTGCGGAAAATGGCGGAGAAAATACATGATTTAGCATGAATTATCATGAATAATATTAACTACTTATTTACCTCTCAGTGTCTTGAGGCAACTTAAAAAAGTACATTCTGTGTTTTTATTATTATTTAGGCAGTTGAATACTGCACAGTATTTAGTACACCATTTTCTTTATTTTCTTCCATCATACACAAGAATACGCGTGCGTGAGTCAATGTTCGCTCGTATGTGAGGCCTTGTCGAATAGTATCCTGTAGGTGGGCCATCGTGCGTGTTTTGTTTCCGATGTAAACTCGCGGAGATGAACAGGCCTGCTAATGGTCACAAACTCACTGTTTTACGACCAATCCTATTTGTCAATGTATGTCTCTCCGCAGCCAAGAAGAAAGAGATTGAAAACTTACAGTGTTACGGCATAGTTCCAACCTAACTTACCTCTTGAAATCCAACGTAATATCCCAGAATGTTTCCGTTCCAAAGATCTCGTTGTGGTGGTTCCCAGCTGACGATCAATTCGGTTGAACTCTTCGCTTCCACTCTGACGTCCAGTGGAGGGCCACTTGGGACTAAAAAATAATAATGGTTCTTCTAAACTGTTTGATCTTAAAATAATTAAGATTATCACTTTGTATAGCTTAGAAAGTGAATTGTCTTCAAGCTACGAGTGAAGAGCATCTACTGGGTAAGCTAGGTCTACCACTTAAAGTATTGGCATCTCTTGCGTAAGTCTCTCAAGAAGCAAATTCAACGTCGTGATTGAATAAAGGTGTTACCTTCTTCAGTGGTGGTCACTTGAATGAGTTGGCTTGGTTCGCTCTGTCCCAGTCTGTTTTCGGCAATGATTCGTAAGTGGTAGGAAGTCGCAGGTTGAAGATTTTGAACGCTAGCAGACGTCACGCTACCCGGAACTATCACTTTTTGTGGGGTTGTTGGCCATGACTCTGCAATATAGTTATGGGATTTAAAACACTTCATGCTTCGTCCATTTGGTGAAAAGTAAGTAATGTATTATTAACAAAATTGAGAAACTTTTCGATAGTATAGAGGTCCCATATAAATACCTGGAGCTTCTTTATATTGTACGATGTAGTTGATGATGGGGCTGTTCCCAGCGTACGGTTGAGTCCATGATATTTGGATAGACCTCGATTGCTGGTCTATTATCCTTATATTCTTTGGCATTTCAGGAACCTGGTAAAATTTATCAATGTTATTATTGGCTTCACCAAATCTTCATTCTTGTGTAGTTATATCTTGATCGAATAGTCTATAGATTATCAGGTTATTTAATATTTTCTACTCACCTCTTGTACTACCAGGTGTATGAGCATTTCGTCTTGTCCATAAGTATTAGACGTACGGCAGGTCAAAGCACCAGTGTCTTGTCGATAGGTCTGTAGGATGGTTAGTTCAGAAACCAGTCCATCGTCTAGGACTTGTTCTCGAATTGTATACCTGGAGAACATGGAAGTACAAATTTATTTTATTTACTAATCGTCGCCTTTCATTTGTGTCATTTACCTGCTTTTTTTTTAATTACTAATCGATGATTTAATATTACTAACGGAACGGAAGTTTAATCCAGACGTTTAGCAATCTTTGGGACTAGTACCATTTATTACTTATGTGACTAGTGCTTGTAGATACAAATTAATCTAAAAGGAAAGGTGATAAATCCCTCTTAATCACGATCTGTACTATATTTGATAGCAACTTGAGTTTGTGTCCTCAACGTAGGTAATCCTTGGTCCAGTTCTTTAAACTCACCGCGTGTCCAAATGGTGTGCAATGGTGTGATGATGGGCAGTGCGCCAGGACACCTCTAAAGGTGCGTCACCAGATGCTGCGCACTGGAGATGGGCTGCCTGCCCTACTGTGACCTGCACCGTTTTGCTCTTCATTGGAAACCTTGCTGGTGCTGTGGGCCCAAAATATTATTGGTAAGTTGGTATTACCATTACTACCAAGTTTATTCCTAGGAGTTATGTAAGTATGTTTAGTTGTCCCAGTTTTAGAGTTAAATCTAAATGGTAAGAATTATGGTGAGGCGCGCTGCTTAATCTGCTTATACGCCTTTAGCTGATGTCTTTGTAGTTTAAACGGGAAAATTTCAGTTTCGTACATAAGTCACGTTTTGGTTGTAAACCAATGAGTAAGTAATTTCATTCACTACAATTCTTGGCTTAGTGTAAAAAGGTTGGCTAAACCATAGTCAGTGATCTCAGACCGTTATAGCTTTGATATCACATTATTCCCTTTTTTTAGTCTGAATAGATTTTGCTCCAAATGCAGCCCAGCCTTAGCTGCATTATTTAAGTAGCAGTGTTCTAGAGAGACATGTTGTAGTCGTGGTTAAGTCATTATTTATGCATTATATTCTGCCCTGAAGCTAAGTACAACGTTTAAAATTTCCAGCTGCATTATAAAATTTAACCGCTATGCAGTTGCCTTGGAGTTGTGTTCTGAACACTAAACAGGATTTGTTTTTCACTTCATAATCCATTGTTTTCAGTAGTTATATTTTGATTTTGCCTAGAATTTAATCAAATACAGTGTGAGTCACGTTAAAGTGTACATATGAAAATAGATTAAACTAGACCTATTTTTATCGACAAAAAAGAGGTCAAAAAATTTTTGAGATTTTTTTAAAAAATTTTATAGAATTTTTTTCTTCAAATTACTTATTGTAAAGAAAACGTAATAACTTTTAAACTAAACTGTATATCCTGATAAAATAAAAGCAGTAATAATGCTAAATAACAGGCGATACTAAAAAAGTACATAAAATACACAAAAAAGGCCAACAAATAATAAAAAATGATACTTTTTGAAAAAAATCTGCTTTAAAATTCGTGTTTTTTTGGTTATTTGATAAATGTCTCCAAAAAATGCCCCTATAACAGGTGGTTTTTATTACTTTGTATTATTCTCTATCGTATTATCTTTGTAAAACCAAAAATTGCATGTCTCTATCCCTATCACAACATTTGCTATGATCGTTTGAACAAAGGCCTGCTACAACATTATTCTCCGCTATAGGTAGAGACAATTTTAATTTTAACTAAAATGCTTATTTTACTTCGAAATCTTTTGTTTTTATTTGAAATCTAACTTGTCTTTATCAAAATTACAAATCTAGAGCCATTTTCAGTTTCCTTGTTAACGAAGCGTTGAATGGCGCACCCGGAGAGGCTTAATTCAAACGATCATTGCAAACGTTGTGATAGGGATAGAGACATGCGATTTTTGGTTTTACGAAGGTAATACGATAGAAAATAATACAAAGTAATAAAAACCACTGGTTATAGGGGCATTTTTTGGAGAAATTTATCAAATAACCAAAAAAACACGAATTTAAAAGCAGTTTTTTTTCAAAAAGTATCATTTTTTATTATTTGTTGGCTTTTTTTGTGTATTTTATGTATTTTTTTAGTATCGCCTGTTATTTAGCATTATTACTGTTTTTATTTGATCAGGATATACCGCTTAGTTTAAAAGTTATTACGTTTTCTTTACAATAAGTAATTGGAAGAAAAAAAAATTATATAAAAAATTAAAAAAAAATCTCAAAAAAAATTTAACCTCTTTTTTTGTCGATAAAAATAGGTCTAGTTTCATCTATTTTCATATGTACACTTTAACGTGACTCACACTGTATACTCTACAAGAATACTTGGGTACTAATAAAGAATTTGAAAAAGTAATGTACATTTGTTACGTGATCTTTTTTATGAATTGACCGTGCCAGACATGTCACCGTGATATCTCATCTCTCTAGCGATATATCGCGTGATGTTTGTCCCCTAGTGAATATAAGATTTTACTGAAAATCGAACAGTGATTTCGAACCGTTAGAAACAGATTCGATTTGCTAATAGCTGTTGTTTCCGAGTCTAAGGCAGTTACCAGTTTATTAGCCGGCGTAACAATCGCACACATCTGCATATCAACGGCATATTGATTTCAGAGCAATAAGCCGGGCGTAAGGGGAGCTTACCATACAGCTGTTTGCAAAGGCGTTGTATAGGCTTATAGGCTGTAGTGAGATTGCATTCTTGATTGCTTGTTAAGCAGATCATGTGATTTATTCCATGAAGTTGGTTGATAATTGGAAACCAGATGATAAAGAAGAATTCGGTAAAATAAGCCATGACGAGTAAGTAGGTAAACATTGCAATTGTGATATCAAATCCCAACTAATATTATAAATGCGAAAGTAACTCTGTCTGTCTGTCTGTCTGTCTGTCTGTCTGTCTGTTACGCTTTCCCGCTTAAACCTCGCAACCGATTTTGATGAAATTTGGCATAGAGATAGTTTGAGTCCCGGGAAAGAACATAGGATAGTTTTTATCCCGGTTTTTGAAACAGGGACGCGCGCGATAAAGTTTTTCTGTGACAGACAAAATTCCACGCGGGCGAAGCCGCGGGCGGAAAGCTAGTATTAAATAAAATATTGCAGCTATGGGATTTCAGTTACTTTAATATGATCGCTCATCGAAATGTGTATGATCATGCTTTGATAAGTATGACACGGTAACTGGAGTAGGTACAGACTGCTATTCGCAGATATTTTCCCCCTTTCTATTACTAGGAACTAATTTAAGCAATGTCTAGACCATACTGTAAACGAACTTAAGTCACTGACATAGCCCGACGGATTAGCAAGCTGAAGTGGCAATGGACAGATTGGGTAGGGCACATAGTACGCAGAACTGATGGCCGATGGGGCAACAAGGTTCTGGAGTTCGCACCGGAAAACGCAGCGTGGGACGTCTACCCACAAGGTGCACCAACAACCTCATAAAGGTAGCAGGAAGCCGCTGAATGTAGGCCGTTACCAATCGGGCGATATGGAAATCATTGGTGGAGGTCTATGTTCAGCAGTTGAAGTCTTGTGGCTGAAATGATGATGAGGCAATTTGTATTCTCTCGCACATTAAATCAGACAAGTATTTCTCATATTTTTATGAAACCTACAGTGATTTCCAATTTTCCCCTTTCAGCCGAGCGTTTTAAAAAGCTAAAGATATTGTTACCGAAATGAGGGTGCGACACCGGGAGATTTACAGGCGCTGGGTCGAGCCGCGTCGCGGCCGCTTGTAATTTATAGGCCACCACTTTGTTTACGGACCTCACATTTTTATGATTTACCGCTTATAATAAAACGGACGCTTTTAAAATGGAAATCTATTCCTTGGTGCTTGAAAGTTGGTCGATTACGGTTTAAGGGTCAGAAAACTGGGGCTCCTGATTTGAATATGTACAAAGTAATAAGAGTAGTTACTAGTCTTAGCTAATTCTTTTTGTGGCGTTTTCATGACTCCCAAAGGTGGCCATTGAAAATGGGGAAAGAATTATAAAAATAAAATTTTGTGAACACAAAAAAAATATGGTCATACCCGAATTCCCATTGCTTTAGTAGCTACAAGTAGGTACTTATGCTTTTTACGCATTAAAAAGTATTTTCACCTAATTGAGGACTGAACCCTGGACCCATTAGGGACCTCTCACCGCGCAATCAAGTCAACAAAATGCTAAATCCTGGATTGCAAAGTTAAACGTTTACTCGGGCCCTGCAAATAGGACGTAAGTAAGGAGTCTGTAAACTTTCTGGGGCTCGTGTCAAACCGAAATAAACAAGCGGGAAATACGATTACGGTTGGAAGCGGAACTGTTTACAAACTGGTCTCGAACGTGACCGGGGCGTTCGTCGACGGGAATCGAACTGGGGGATTTTCTTTTACGGCTGTTTGTAGCTAACAAGTTCTAGCAATGCTCCAGATCACAAATCTTCATTGAGGGTAGTATGGCATGGAAGTTGAGTGGCGACTGGTCGGCGCGGGCAAGTCGGTTAAGATATTAACCCAAATCGAATTACTTACAAAGCAACATTAGAAGCAATTGTAAGAGTAGCAGTAAAGTTACCAATAAAAACAACTGTATAAAGCCTCAATACTTGATCAGGTTTATGAAATTATAATGTTAAGGTGTGGGAAGTTTCAGCCTAATCGAACTGAAAACACTTTCAATATCTGCTTTAAAGTGAAATCCTTATGAAATGAAAATATCAAACCATATTTCCATTTCCACAAAGTCAATACAGCGTCAATGAAGTGGAGAACGTAGGTAGATATTATATCGACGCCCATTATCTCGTACTTATAACTAAGCCCCCCTACTTACTTTACGGTGGTTGACTCAAATCAATAAAGTTATGTATGCATCAAAAGCGTACGTATGTAAGCTAANCTAAGTAATTGGGCACAGTGTTAATTTCAACAACTATTGTAGTCAATATCAAGCTCTATCTAAAAAAGGTTGACTGTTTCAACCATATTTCACCACATTTGCTTTCCACAAAGCCAATACCGCGGTGCAGACACGCTCGGCTCGTCCTAGCCCGTCTCCAATAAACGGAGACGTATTGCCACGCCGCCCATCGAGTTTTCCGCCCCGACGCGCGTCCACACAACAAATTGTCCCCTAATATTGCTTCACAGGTGACCGAGTGCGAATGTGAGAAAAACACTTGTCACGTACGATACGAAGGCAGGATAGGACCTTTGATGTTAACGATGGAATAGTAATGAGCCGTTTTTGTTATGGAGAGATGGGTATTTCATTGTCTGAATGGAGCAGCGAAGCATTACGAAATTGTTTTTGGTTGATTCGATTTGCAATTCGAATGAGTGAAACGCTGTTTATAAAATGAATTTTTATTTTTTATTTAGCAAAACATCTACCATTGTGGTAAATTTTAATAGCTGTTATCGTGACTTTATTGTAATTCCACTGACCCAATATAGAGTTAATTTAAAATGACTAGCGCGATTCTCTAATTGCTTTTCAAGTAGTCAGCACACAGAGCACAAAGTACAGGGACAAGTCTAGCCGCCAACTGTCTCCTACAGCAAGAATGGCTGTGACACGCAGTTACAAGATAATATATTATAGTTACCAGACATTTTCAGTCTGCTAGATAAGGAATAATTGTGGCATATTTACTTCCTACCATTTTTACTATCGGTGCAATGAACTGAGCTTTAAAATCCATCACATACCTTCCTAAATCGGGTTACTCGATTCCGAAAACACAGGATACATCACAATACGATCGATTCGTTATCGGATATCACGTCCGAGTCGGGAAATTGCACCTATGCTTTTACCAGGAAAATACGTCAGTTTGATACGAGTTTTTCATTCGGATGACAGGAGAGCATCGGAAAACAATCCGTGGAATGCAAATCAAACATTACTTTCGGCTATCGTATTCCATTCCTATTTATATTACCGTTCAAAACTACCTGAAGTTTTGATACCTATTTAAATTTTGACGAAAAGCTCAAAAGCTGTAACATTATTTTTAATTAAATTAAATAAGAATCAGTAATATGTTATAATACATGCTCCTTCTATTCTAAATAACATTAACATGTAGTACCTTACTTAACACTATTCTAGCAGATGAATGTCTCCAATAAATTAGAGACCTATTGTATCGCTCATCGAGTTTCCGCTCAGACGCGCGTCTTCAACGAAGTCAATACAAACACTGTATTACTTCCACTGGTGACGAAGTTATGTTCACTACGAAGGCAAGAAAAAACAGCAAAAACTGAAACATACGTAGTTCATTTTATCGTCGACTTTACCACGTTTAATAAAACGTTTAAGCTATAGCTGAATTCATTCATAATGTAGTCAATTGATCCAACTTCTTCATTAAATAAAGCCTTGTCGGGGAAAGTATTTAAATACCAAAGAAATATTAAGAGGACGACAAAAGTAAGTAATCACCATCCATCATCCTGAAAATAATTAATTTTATCAACTGTTTTAATTAATCGTGCACCTCGGTAAAAAAGTCACCTTATAAAAGCCTAGCGCGACTGCTAATTATGAAAACTTTAAATTAATATTTCATACAAGCTTTTGTTCTGGCATGCCCGGCCATATGACCTACTTTAGAAATGCCTAGGTTAGGTCGCTGAAAAAACAATACAATTTGCTTATATGAGTCTTGGTGCAGAGAGAGATTTTTCTTGTTAGTAAGTTTACGTAGACACACACGACGAGTGAGAGAAAATGTTATGAAAATCTGACTGACGACGGCTGCAAAATATGACAAAACACGTTTTCTTCAAATTTTTCATTGATTCTGGCAATAAATATTTTCATTTTCATTTCATTTTCAAGTACAGTTTTCTTTGAAATACAAATATTTACTTGGAGCGTTTTTCAATCGATAACTTTACTAATAACCTATAGGTTATCTTTTTTCACAAATTAATAAAACTAACGTGCAATTTCTTAGCACATTTTTCTTTTATCGAGAATCCATTGAGGACCATATTATGGTCTAAGTCCCGATCGCTTCGAAGCGGCCGTCGTAAGGCGTTCAGAGCATTGAGAGAATGGGCTTCCTTTAATTTGAGCTAAGTACAATGGGACAGCGGACAATTTGCACGAGTTATCGGGGAGGCTGCGGAATTTTATAGAATTAAAATAAAACTGCCCCGACGAGGGCGTTTACATGGGAACTTTGCGCCATTACGTGACTCAGAAGGTATTATTGTGCGAAACTGAATTATGGCCGGAATGAAAGGTCGACATTGGTGGCTATTCAGTCTATTTATTTAGTTTTCTCCTTAGTGAATACAAAAGAGATGAAATTTGTCTTCTGCCTTGTAACTAATAACGTTATCTAAATCTAAATTATTATGATCCTAGTCGTTATTCTTTTTTTTAAAGCTGTTTCATGTAGCTTTTGTTTACGTTTATAATTTGTTTATTTTAGACATTCTGAACATAACTGTAGCATTATTTGCTATTTATTTACGTTTTCTACGATAAATACTGAGTTATATCATTCCTGATATCAAACGTTGTTTTATAACGGTCTGTACATAAAATCGTACCATCAAACGTTCGATGGCGGAAATCCAATTACTTTCGTAAACTGACACATTTGATTCGCACATTTAAGTCGGCTGTTAAAATAAGTAAGGCTTTCTTGGCGAAACGTCGAATATATTCGGCTGTTAATGTCTTTTTTACAACTGGGGGCAGCTCGGGGCTGGCTACAAAGCAATAATGACGCAAAAGAATTTTCATTTGAGTACGGTCGCGCGGCCCGCTCCGCCGAAGCTCATCGTGGTGACGACTTTCATCAAGACATTCCACAACTTTTCAAGGGATCGACAAAAAGATGCCTTCGTATTTATACGGTCTATACAGATATATTCGGCGCAAACTTTGATGATAAATTGAATGGATCCTTTGAGGTCAGTTGAATTAAATGACTGGCCTTAGACAATAGACGTTAATTTGGACGGAGCGCTGTGTGAGACTGGCAATTTTGGTGGACACCGCTCTATAAAATATTCATCAGGCGAAACTAGACTAACTTTGTTCGTGGTTCAGTCATAAAAGCAAGTACCAACACGTGTTGCAGTATAATAATAGTGTACGCCGGGGAGTTATCAAATCTGGCTATCCTAGACTTTTAGTTATATGGACTTTTTGGGTTTTTAGGGCTTAAAGTAAAGAAGATCGTAAACTGGTCATAAGTTCTGTCATATGATAATAACTTTTGAATTTTGAATGAAGGTTTCAAAAACATTTTTTACTGAATTAGAATAAAAAAGAAAAAATGTGCGATAGTTCGAATTTTATTGTATGTGTAGTGGACGCATAAAGAAGTCCGAACTGCAGTTGTCACGTTGCATTGGTGCGGCTACGCGCCAAAACAGATTTTCGTTGTGCTGAAAAAATTTCGTTTATCTTTTCATTTAATGATAGAGGTAGGTGTACCAGAATCTCATGGCAAACAAAAATATTGGAAAAGTGTGTCTTTCATATGGCAAATGTCTATGGCTTTATTGTCACCTGTCAAAGTAAATCAAGTGAACTGTCAGTCGCTGCAGAAATTTTGTAATCTCTTCATGCCTATTTGTTATTTTTGTGAAAAAGTCAAAAAAGCTCAAGCAAGTCATATTGTTTTCAATGTGTATTGTAAAATAAGGCATAATTCAAAGTCAATCTTTGATTTTAAAGCGCGTCGTTGAGTTGACAATAAGTTAGAGTGAAATTTGATACATTTAGTTTATTACCTAACTGCGTCAGAAGGAGGGTTTTTTAAATATTATTCTTATAATAGCTGCTTTATAGGGGGTTTCAGGTGTACCTCACAAATTGGTGCAGAAGAATGGTGAAAATGTTATGACCATGTAAATAAAATTGAAAAAGATTTCATCAAGTAAGATAGAATAATTGAAATGGTGGAAGAGCAATTTATTTGGCCCATTTATTGTCCCGAAGCAGTGGTAGGGTTAATATTGGGACGTGTAAAAGCGCTTTTTTAAAGCCTATTTGCAAAAATAAATGAATTTTATGAATTTTATAATAAATACCTCTTTATCTTGATCATCTATTGAAGAAAAGTGGAATCCTTGGAATCGTTTTCAAGTTCTGAATGAAGTGATTAGTTATAAGTATGATACATAATAAAATTAGTTACATAAAGTTATATACGATTTACTTATTTTTCAAGACATTTTCCTATTATTATTACTGACGGGATTGCTACCATGTACCTTAGTTTTGAGTTTCCAATATTTCGGCACTGTTGCAAGCACTATGGTCACGGAGTAACTGAAGAAATTAAAACCAGACATCGTTCAGATGTGCGTTCAAAAGACCTGAGATTTAAAAAAATCCCACGTTTTGTTTAAACAGTAAGCGAAAAAAAAGTGACTTGAAAATGGAATACAAAATGATAAGGTATGGTAAATGATAAGTCTTTATCAATGAAGAAGCAGAAGTTCAATTTCATGTGTCCTCCATCTAGGCTAGTTCCATCGTCACCCAAAGTTTGGCTGCGGTCTCAAATTTGGGCTTAATTGAGGTATTTTTTGGGGGAAANACAACAATTTCTAATGACCACTAAAGTTTAGTTACAGAGTATTTACTTAAGTTATCCTCTCGTGACGTAGCTCAGACAAGATTAAACTGAACTAATTTTACTGTGGTGAGACGAAAAGAAAAGATTGTCGCCAATTTATATGACTTAAATATTTTTTGTAAATAGGATACATAGGGCCGTCAAACGTCGAGCTAAAATTAAAAAAATGTATCTATGTATTTGTGGTTTTAGACTTACCTACGGCTTTCTTCCATGTAATACTAGGCTTCGGGTACCCGTCCGCTTGGCACTGCAGTGTGACGTCTTGGCCAGCCGCTACGGCCACGTCGTTCGGTTCCAAGCGCCACCTCGGTGGAACTGGTGTCAGAAAACCATATCTGATAAAACTACCTTCGATACAAAGAAGTTACGAGTTGGCAATAAACTAGACCTAAATTAATGTACAGACTTAACCATCGCAAAATACTACTTAGATTAAACGATAAAAATCTACAGAATTGTAGGATATTAAACGGTCACTGCTTATTTACAGCACAAAGAACACGACGAAATTCAGCTGGTGAAAGACCTAAGACAGACGAACTTTTCTTTTTTTTAAATATAAAATTACTTTAAAAACAAATAAGTTACTTACCATTGACGGTCAGTGGTACAGTGAACCGCTCTGAGCCAGCTACATTCGAAGCGATGCATGTGTAGTTCCCACTATGCAGCGACGTGATGTGCTCTATCACCAACGAAGCACTGTACTCGTCCATCCGTCTCGTGATGATCCCACTCGGCGCATACGGCGATGACGTCACCGGCTGCCCATTCTTCTCCCACCGAAACGCAATAGGCAAATCCCCCTCCAATATTTGACAAGAAATCGCCGCCCTCATCCCTTCCCTCAGAAAATTCGTGAGCGGTTGAATAGGCAGGATCTTCGGTTGAACTGAAATATCAAAAGCATTTCTTAATTTCTCGTTCAAGATGAAATTGTGCGGAAGCGTTTACTCACGGTTTTACACGCTAAACGCTACTTAGTCCAAATTATTTTGAGCAAATTCTTCTATTACATTTAAGTAAAAGTTAATTAGTATAAAATCTCCGTTTTCCTACCTCATCTCAGTGAGGAAATTTTGTACTGATTTTTTATATTTCCACTTTATTGCTCTATTAACCCGGAAAGCTAGAATTTTAACGCTCCGTAGATGCCGCGGGAACGGTAAACGCGCTAACTTTAATGAATTACGGATGAGTAACTCCGCCCCTCTTGAATTCGTGATTTTATAGCGCTTTAAATCTTACTACAGAAAATGAGAAAGTTTATACTCAAATTTCCACTGAAGCATGACGGGTATGTGGCAGTTGCCATAGGGATTCATGAGCTCACGAAACTTGTGTTATTGTACGGGAAGATTGTTCGGAATGGGTGAAACTTGATTAAGGAAGATAAAGCTTAACAGCTTTGTGGTGAGAATGCTGTTTTGTATCAAGTAGAGACGAAACAAAAGCTTTTACATACAACTCTCGTTGAATTGAAACTTGAAAATTCGGAATTCTACTAGTGTTTTTTGGTATTCCGAGTAATAAGTAGCTTGGGAATGAGTGGTCTGTTACTTAAACCGCTGAGATAATACTATAACAAAAGGCTGGACTTTTCTAGCAAGGCCATTTGGTACATTTCCATTAACACCACCAGGCTAATGTCTTTACTTCGAATCCTTGATAAATGTTGGTAAAAGTAGGTAGGTGTGTAACATTTTCACGATGCGATTACCTTTTTACCATTTATGAATGTCCTATAGGGGGAAGGAATCTAGACAGTACAGGGATAAAATATGTATATGATAAGTAAAAACTTTTGAATGGCTGTCCAAACCCAGTATCTGCACTTCTATGTCACGACTGGCCGCGTGTCGCTATCTTTTGGCCGGCTGTAACAGGTAACAGCGGGGTTACTCCGAAAAACGTCATCCGAAGTTTCGGATGTTGCCATCCCTCTCACACGAAGAGAGATGCCAGCATGAGCGACGGTGAAAGATAGACCCGAAACTACGTAAACAGCATTTCAGAGTAGCCCCACAGGTCCCAGCGTCCTCTCCGCACTGTGTCTGCTCCACTATCAAGGTCTCATTGGGGTAACCCTTCTGTTGTAAGTTCAGTCTCAAAGTCTCTACAAACCCAGTATCTGTACTTCTACGTCTCGTCTGGCTGCATGCCGCTGCCTATTGGCCGCCTGGCAGGTGTAGGTCCCGGCGTCTTCCCCACGCTGTGTTTGCTCCACTATCAGGGTCCCATTGGGGAATACCTTCTGTCTTCTGTTCAACGGCAGCGTTTGACCATCTGTGACAATAGAGAGAAATTATAAATTTGATAATTAATGTAGATCTTCTTCTTCTTCTTCGAAAAGAATGTAGATAATTAGTGTGGTTGTTTTCCACGGTCGATGAAACATAGTATGTATAATATGATGTCGTGCCCTGCATGCCCAGACAACTGCACGCAGGAAGATTTAATGAATGCCACTGACAACGCCACTCTTGTAGCAGAGTTTTGGGCTGACATTGTGTAGGTTTATTGTCGACACGACAAAAAGAAGAGAACAGTTAGGAATGTGCTGTAACTTCATCTATTGTTCTACCAGTCACGTCCATATATATATAGGCTTCTTTTTTTATGGCGTCTCCATTATCTATTAATTTTATAAAAGCACGCAAGCAATACCTACAGAAATATTAACTGAGCCAGTTAATTTTGCAAAATGTAGCATCCAAAAATTACACACACACACAAAAGCCGCAAAAAGTTACTCTACGTTATGTTACAAAATGTTATGCAAATGTTATTCTCCTGAAAAGTAACTTCGGTGTGGATGCACCCATAAAACATGAATCTGGATCTTCAGGTATAATACTTTATGGCAACTGCTAAAATAATCATATGAAAAGTGGCGTAAAATGTTCTGGAATTGCGTATAAAAGTAAGCCCTTATAACATTGGGTATACTTAGCACTTTATCGCCATATACACTTAAAAATAACACTTATTTTACTACACTCCATAAGAGCAGCGGAATCTTTACGACTGGAATTTACGTGGACTCTACAATATTCGCGCAGACTAAGAAAACGGTGTAAAAAGTATTTTTCAGTAGCTTTTGGATTCGGTGGGCCCATTAAGACAAAAGTGCTGCAACTCGATATTTTAAATTGTATATTTTTTGGCATACTTAGGCAGGTACTAAAATGAGCATAAGTGACGTACTAAATAATAAATAAATAAATAATAACTACTATTAGATTGTGAATTACGACATTACAAACACAAACGTCTCGTATAGCTGTAAATATAGTACCTAAATGATGATTTTTTAATTTTTTCCCTTTTTTTTTTACAATATATTTAACTAGCTTTCCGCCCGCGGCTTCGCCCGCGTGGAATTTTGTCTGTCACGTCAATGTTATACAATGTTTCTGTCACAAATAAACTTCTTTTTGTATAAAAGGTAGGCAAGAAAATGCAATGAAAATATTTTAAATTTTACAATGGCCGACAGCCCTACAAGCTGATATTTGGCCGCCTTCCACGCCCAATTTCCAAATTAAAAATCGGGGTATGTAATAAAAATAGGACGGCGGTTTGACGAAAAAATGTTAACACATCGGCGGAATTGGGCCGCCGCGCCGGTTTTTGGAGAACAGCTGTTCGTTAGCAGTGTTTTTAATTTGCACTTATGTAATGGTTTGTGTTTTTTAATATCGAGCCAACTTCCTTTAAAAGTATGTGTAGTTTTTATCCTAGCGGAATTATTAAATAGTAAGCTTATGGTTCAATTTGCACAGTTAAGCCTCTATTGTGTAAGTGTTATTATGTTAGAAACAAAGCTTTCATATTATTATCTAATCTATTATATTTTAATACAGTTCTAAGCAAATTAACTGCAAATTGAACTAGCTACGGCCCCTCATAGATTTGTTCGAATTAAGTATTCTCTTTCACACTTTACTGAAATATAAAGGAATGTTCATTAACCCTTTAATCTATTCGAGAGCGGCCTTCTATCAATGCAGGTATCAGAATGCTGAGCTCGCTTAATGAGGTCCTGCAAAGATAAGGCGTTCGGACAAGGGTCACAGAACACGACAAGGGTGTGGTCACCAAAAACGTTTCGCCTTTATATCTAACCCCGTAAAGCCTTATTTACAACCGTGGGAGGACTGTACAACTGAACGGTCTCTCGAAAATTCGAAAAACATTTTTCTTGGGCGTTACGAAATTAAAGCGAGTTGATGAGGGCTAAATTGCGAATAAATCAAATTTTTGTCCGATGAAAAATAAGTGGATTTTATATTCTAATAACATTGTTCATATTATTAAAGAAAACTCGTATACCTAGAGGCAAACAAGTCAAGGGCGATCTTATATTATTTTTATTCTTGATTAGTTTCATATCTTAATTAGTAGTTAGTATTGTAGACGAAGATGGATTAAGAGGGAAAAACAGTTGGAATAACTCAGATTTGCCCTTAATTGGACATTGCGGAGGTGTCTCGGTTATTAGATTGTGGGACGCAATTTTCTCTAAGGATATTGCCGTGGGTATAACATAAACATCTCTGTACGGTATAAGATAAAAATCTCCAGAAAAGAACGGATAGTTTGGTTAGACGTTGTTTCTGCGAAAATTGGATAGTATGTGCCTTAGAGATAGAGTGACAGGTAGGCATATTTTTGTAGGATTATTTGTAATGGTCTGTACTTATGTAAATTAGCCTTTGTTGCGTCATAATAGGTTGCGCTTGAAGGTCGTGAGGTCTTTTGTGTTATTTTATAAGGGATTTAATCTAAAAGGAAAATGTATCACATAATGTGGAGAGAAAATTAACTATGAGTAGTTTGGCTTTCTGAATGTTTGAAGTTCTTCAGTCAGTTTCTTATAAGAGTTTCCATAACGACCTGTTGCTAAGTAGACGAAGTAAGTTTAACCTCCGAGCCTTAATTTGATACTGTTCAAGTCATAAAGTGTCGTCTCATTAGGTCGCGTTGTTGAAGAGCGTTTGTGGGATTTCTTTGATAGGTACTTGATATTAGTGTAAAATATATTTTGTTATAGCGATACGAGAAACCTTGTTGATACTTCAGCATGAAAGGTTAATTGAAATATAAGCTTATTATCATCGAGCAAAGCTTATTTATTTGTGTGACATCTGACTCAGTAATTTCACTTATCAGAAAATAGAATCATATTGGAGATTATAATATTAATTTACTTAATTATAGCATTGACCTTTAATAATATTTAAGCATACTTTACCTTTACTTTTACCTAGATAACGAGCAACATTTATTGGATTGCTAAATGTTTTCATACAAAATAGGTACCTCGTGAAAAGTATAAGTACGTTGCGATTGAATTATTCCCACACCGTCTACTTACTCATTTTGAATATTACACGTTAGCATAATAAAATAAATGGCTTGTCATACCTACAATGCAAATGGAGGGTTGTTGAGATGCCTCCATACTGAGTGAGACATTAAAGGGTGAAAGGTGAAATAATTTAAGTATATTAATGTGTATTTTATATGGTTTAGCAAATATTAAAGACAGAATAGAAATAGAATAGGTCAATAGAGTAATGATTAGGTTAGGTCGTTGTGAAATTCCTTGGGGGAGGCCTTTGTCCAGCAGTGGACGTCTAATGGCTGTAACGAATGAATGATTAGGTTATTGTTTATGTTAACGGATACAGAAATATTTCTACACGATAAATATACGCATACAAATGTACATACTCTATGCTATAAGACACGGGCTGGTTTGATTAAAGATAGATAGAACATACTTTCTTGCAAACCCCACAAGACAAGATAATAAAATAAAACAAAATTTATCTAGTTATTGTGGAAATAGGAAGTAATGAATCTCGAGGAAAATTTTGTCCGGCACCTACTCTATTGAAGTGAATTTCTGACAATATCGTTTATCAGAAACCGATCATGATAGAATGCTGAATAAATAAACATAAATTCCCTTTACCTCGGGGTCTTCTGTAACTAACGACATTGTATTGGAGATGCAGGAAAAGATTTGGGAAAATGAAAATCAGAGCACCCGTGAACGAGCAATGGGCCTGAATACGCTTTGTGTAAGGTTGAATAAGATATTTTGTCTCGAACTTATTTGGAGGATGCCCTGAAAAAGTAAAATGTATTTTATTTACTTGACATTATATCAACTAAGCGTTTTTGTTGCACATAGTTATCTTGCATTACGCTCTCTAAAAACCAAGTCGAGTGCGTTGAAAGATAAGCAGCAGTGTTATGTGCTTCTAGTTACAGATAAAATATCACTGTTTGAAACTACACTATCTAATCTTCACCTCCCTTTTGCTATAGAAAGGAACAGGCAGATTTTGTGATATAAATTATTTAAAAAAAGATTAGGTTTGATTTTCATTTCTAAGGCTGACTTGCACCAGATAACAAATACCGTAACTATACGTTAACCGGTGTTTTTTGTATGGAGTTTGACAGATTTTTGACGTTTGTCAAAAGTAAGATGGTGCAACTTAGCCTTATTCTATCTCTACTTCTACGAGTATACGAAGTCAATTACAAAGTTCTTAACAAAGTATAATATAATCCAGTAAACATAATTTACTTTGAGTAGTAAACTTTCAAAGAATATTTTAAGCGAATACGTCGCAAAATACATAACAATATTCCGTGCCAGAAAACTTTTGGAGATTTTTTTGCATTAACAAGTGATGAAAGAGAAAAAGGACGAAAGCCTAAGAAGCCCCGGTGGCAATTCAATTTCGAGTCGTGATGTACGGCGTGGAAATTATGTCAATTTTTTACCATTAAAACACGGAAATGGTGGGAAATATTCGCAATAAAGGCTGGCTACGTTTTTTGGTTTCTTTCTGTTCAGTTGCCGAAGGTTAATATTTGATTCTCCGCTCCCAAATTGTTTGATGTCTACCTTAATTCATATTGAAGAAACATTGACTATAAAATTGGTAGAAAATGAGAGTAATTTGGTATAACTATAAAATATTATAATTTCGGTCGAACTTTAAGTCGAATAAGCAAGATTTATGTAAAACTAGCTGACCCGGCGAACTTTGTTCCGCCTTAATGGCAATAAATAAGCAGACTTTATTTTAATTTCGAACGGGATAAAAAGTATCCTATGTCCTTCTCCTGGCTCTAAACTACCTCCCTGACAATTTTCAGCTAAATCGGTTCAGCCGTTCTTGAGTTATAAGCGAAGTAACTAACACGACTTTCTTTTATATATATACATAGATATCTTTTTGGACAATCCGGTTCGAATTGGGAACAGTTGTACAAAGTAATTTTTTTTTTAATCGAACTTATGTTCTCTGGATGAAGTAGAGATGGCAAGAATACAACGTTAACTAAATAAATAAATTAGAATATTTATTAACATGTTATTTATGTCATTATCCTGATGAAAATATTCTCAAGATAAGGTTAACAAAGCGTACAAAGTTGACACAGATGGTTTTATTGAAGGCAAGCCAAGTTTTAACGGTGCTATAAAAACTTTGCCAGTTAAATTCAATGATTACTTCTCACTCAGCGGTTTCGTAAATGACAAAACATCAAGTTGTTAACGTTTTTATTCAAAGCAGCACTGATATTCATGAAAGGCGCGATATACCTACTTTGTTGAAAGGTAGGTAAAGGAACCTTTATATGATTTAGTAGCAAACTTATAGTTATTAAGAACGATGTAACAATTCATTGAATCATCAGTTTAAGAGAACAGCAGCCGCTTTATTTTTTGAAAAGAGGAATCCGCATTTTCTGAGCCGACGGTTGTTTCAGCAAAACGTTGTAGGCAATAGCTAAAGTATTGAACGATACGTTAGGAGTTAAGCGGCGATTGGTAACATAAAACGCGTCTCCGCGACACAAGTGCGCGTTATATTGTGGGTGGCTGCGTGCCAGCGCGGTGAATATCGGTTCAGCGAATTTGGCAAAGAACGGCGACGGAATTACCCAATCAGCTGTCTTGGTGGCGCTTCACCCAAGTATGTAATTAGGGCCGCTATTTGCTCAGAAATATAGCGATATAGTTCCATAATTTCTCCACTCCCTGATAGATAGTTACTACTGCTCTAAGCCTAGGCGCAGACCATCGATTTTTCGTCGACCGATAGTTTAATCTTGCAATTGATTAGTATGGGCATATATGGAAGTGCGCACATTACACCGATTTGATTTGGCCGATTCTTCATACAAATTAAAATCGGGCCCAACTATCGGCCAACTAAAAATCAATGGTCTGCGCCTAGGCTAAGATATACTAAAAGAGTAAAAAGCAAAAGACGACAATCGCCTTTCAAGAATATTCAGCGCCGTATTTTTCCGTCACTCGATTTCTTGAAAAGATACGTGATAGCTTCACATTGCTTTGAGCAGATACGTGCTGGCATGTTACAGACGTATTAAAAAGAAAAAGTAAAAGGCGTCAACTTACCCCTTTCCCAAGAAATGGATTCAATCGGGTATCCAGCGACGGGGCACTTGATATTCAAGTCACTGCCCGCTACTGCTGTGACCTTCGGCATCTCCCGTATATACGGCAGGCCGTATACGTTGACACGCGCCGCATGCAACGCCTTGCCTGCAGTGTTGCTAGCAACACAGGCGTATTCGCCGCCATCTTGTTCTGTCACCCGACTGATGTTAAGATGGCTGACCACGTCGTCTTGTAGAGTTACGTGCTGGCCTACTACGAACCTGGTAAAAAAGAAATAGGTAGGTATGTCTGAGTGAAATAAAAATTGGTATGCTACGTCGCCGTCGCATAGACGAAATTCTATTTGTCTACGACGCTACGCGACGTGGACGCCAATAATGTTCAACGCACTTATACAGCATTTTGTAGGATTTTCGAAACGGTCATTCGTAATCAATGGGGATCGGGACAATGCAGATCTACAAATAGAACAATGTTCCGAAATTCAAGTGTCGCAGTTTGCTGAAACACGAGGCAATAGTTTCGGTTCTATTGATACCACTCATTAATATAAAATAGACCCTACATCAATTTGAACAATTCTATACGGTTGGAACCCTCTAAATAAGTAGGTAGGTATTTTTCCGAAGCCTTTCTGAACTTACCGAGAATTAGTAGGTATTGGAAATCCATCAAGTAGCCAAGTGAACTGCGGAGGCGGGTGTCCCATGGCCACGCACTTCAGAGACACGCTGGGGCCTGGTTGGAGGGTTTGTTCCGAAAACCAGTACACCAACTCGGGCTTTGATTCTGTGCAAAGAAAAAACATTGTTAAAGCGCTAATTAACGCTGAGAGGATAGAAGCAGATTCCTAATAAGACAACAAATTATTTCGTGAAAAGTATTACATAATCGGTAGCTTTTCGTGATAAGGTTTCTCTATAATTTTTATTAAAAACTATTATGATGAATGATGGAATATTCTGTTCAAAGCAGCAAAAGTGCACTGGATCAACAAAGAAGCTTAAAAAATGTAGCGATGAAATTCCACACCAGTAAAAACATTGTAAATATCGTTTTTCTATCTGTATTTGAGTAGTGGAAATGAAAATAATATATTTTGTGTTGGCATTTACGAGTAGGTACTTATTAGGTACAGCGTTTGTATACTTTTTTGAATTTTAAAACAAAATACCTATGCACGATATACTTTATCATGCTATTGACGTAGCAGTGTGATTAGCTACATATTTGTCGTCAAAAAGTATTATAATTTGGTGAAAATATGGAAATAACACGAAAACGTATTATCCCTTAACATTAACCGTTAGAGTTAATAAAACTAAGCTCATTACCCCAATGAACATTCTGTAACCGTTTATTGCCGGCGGTATTACTTCCAGGCTAATAGTTTCAGAATAAGCTTGAAAAAGGCGTCATACTTTTATTAGTGAAAGGGATGAACGCGGCTTAGGTGGGGTGAATCTGAACCCCATTTTAATTTGCGCACCAGTGGGTTCTGGCTGAGATGGCGGAGCTGCAAATCCCTCCGCTAGGCTCGGAGGCACGCCGCTCTGGAGTTGGGCACATTCGGATAATTTAATGAATTAAAAACGGCCGAAGTGCGTGACGGGTAGGGCATTGTGGGATTCCGTAGGTTTAACGGTTAAACGATATTTTCTATCTAAGTATTTCTTCTTGTTTTCTTGATATGATAACTTGCGACACGTAAAAGCTAACCAAACACTAGTAAAAAATGTCTAAAAGATAATCGTAAATCTAGTCGATGAGTCGAGTAGAAAACCTATGTGTATGAATTTAGGTGCGATTAGTAAAGAATCTTTGAGCTAAGCCGTGGACAAAGGAACCAACAGACGGACTGAAACTTTCAAGAGTTCCATAATGTTACTATAGCATGTAATAAACTAATTTGAATTTGAATGTTTAACTACAGAACCCTAAAATTTTCTGCGATTTTCCTCAGCAACGGGGCTTAACAGATAATACTGCAACTGTACTGTTTTATTTATATGAAAGCTTTAGGAAATTGGAGAGAATACAAATAGATTTCCATCGATAAGGACTAATTTATTATTTGTAGCCGAATAAGCTTTCTCTATTGCGTTGTCCTTTGTGCTATACGAGGGCCGGCTGATAATTTCGCGGCCTAAGGTACNGGGCATCTATCTTCCTCTTTTCCAAGTCGCGTACTGTCACTATAGCATGCAATAAAATAATTTGAATTTGAATGTTAACTACAGAACCCTAAAAATTTTCTGCGATTTTCCTCAGCAACGGGGCTTAACAGATAACTGTACTGTTTTATTTATATGGAAGCTTTAGGAAATTGGAGAGAATGGAATAGATTTGCATCGATAAGGACTTATATATTATTTGTAGCCGAATAAGCTTTCTCTATTGGGTTGTCCTTTTCGTCCGTTTTGTATATTATCATCATCATCATTTCAGCCATAGAATGTCCACTGCTGAACATAGGCTACCCCCAGTGATTTCCACAATGGCCAGTTGGTAGCGGCTTGCATCAAGCGCCTTCTTGCTACCCTCTACCCTGCGCTTTCCACTCCAGAACCTTGCTGGCCGTCAGTTCTGCGTAATATGTGCCCTGTCCATTGCTACTTCAGTTTGCTAATCCATCGGGCTATGTCAGTGTTTGTATTATTATGCCTGTTGCTTATGCAAAGGTTCCCCAGTCTTTTGGATTAGCATTTAGCTTCTTCCATATTTTGACGCACAGGCATCTAATCCCGAACTCTCATAAAATATTCATTATTATAAGGACGCTCCTCTATACCATCTATACAGGGTGACTTTGAAATGTTGTGCAAAATTTTAAGAAGCTACTCAGAATCAGTTACTTACATAATCGATTTACGTAAAGAACAATAAAATGTTTCATACTTATTTATTGCTGAAAATGGCAGCGTGGATAATTTACTTCATTCATAGAAAAATAGGTCTACGCACGTCACGATATTTCCACTACAAAATTATCACTTCACGGGATTTATTGCAACAATATCTATTTTAACGGTAAATAATATTTACCCTCCCGACGTTTCGGCTCGGTTGCACGAGTCATGGTCGCGGGCAGACTGAAGAGATGCGGCGTCGTCTGCTCCGGCGCGATGAGTTTTCTTCATAAAGTGATAATTTTATAGTAAAAAATGCAACATAATAGTTTAAAATATTATATTTCCACTACAGTTACCTAATAGTTATGACAGCGCGTGAATATAAGCCTTAGCCTTTATAACGTAAGGTATTACGATTAAAAATAATTACTACGATAAAGCCATATTGTAACACAGAAACTATAACACCTACAAACTTGTTTGATAAGGTGTGGACCTTGTAAGGTGTGGACATCCGCTAAGAACGAATTTTACGAAACGACCCCTAAGGTGGTAAAACGGGGTCCACGCGTACGAAGTCGCGGGCGGCCGCTAGTTGTCTATAGAGCTTATTATAAAAAGTTAGCAACACCTTGCAATGTCATCCTGTATAACGCAGCGTCGGATATCAGGTTAATTTTGAATATTAAAGGTGACGTGTCAAATAGGCGGCTTCACTTAATGAAAAGGAGATTTGCGGCGGCTTAGCAAAATTAACCTCTGACCTCTGTTATAAAATCCTCCTTTCACACTTGTCCGTTTAATTCCTTTGGTTGTTTTGTAATGAAACGGGCATTATCGTATTTTTAAAACCCTTACAAAAAGGGCTTAGAGAAAAGCCTAGTCGTAACTCTAGAGGTATTAGCGTAGTTTAATGTACCTAAATACTACCAGTTTATAATAGTTGCTTCCAAAGCTAGTATAAGCCTTGTTTTATAATTATACCTACCACAATAAAATTGCTAAAATTGAAGAAGAATTGATAAAATGATATTAATGTTACCTTTTCAATTGTACGAGTATTGCCCTAACACTCATAAATTCACATAATATTTGCACAGATAAAAGAAGGTGATCGACTGAATAAAATATCAGAAAAACCTTCAGATAAGAATAGAGACTGGAATGTTCACTGAACTCAAGGTATTGGGTAGAAAAGTATTTTAGTCTAGTACCTATAATATAATTTCAATGCTCAAACACTTTACATATTTTAGTAGTTGTACCTTTTTCAGTTCACGCGTGATACGGGTAAAAGATGGAACACGACCTCTCGTTTAAAACGTGGCATTTTTCTGCTCATTGCATTTTATTGGCTGGAGTAAAAACAAAAAATCTGCACCACGCTGTAAAAGTGGCACAAGTTTTTATGCCACATTATAAATGGTGCAATAAAGAGTGGATCAAATTTATGTGTAGTTTTCCCGTGGGCGCCGTGCGACCGGGTCGACGAAATGTAATAATAAAGTGGCCCTTGTCCCTTCATTAGAGAGCACATTATCCTGGGATATTTGCTTTGCCGAGGATACGGGTTTTTGTTCGGCAGGATTTAGATGAGCAGTGATAACAAAAAGTTTAACTATGCGTACAGCGACAGTGTAACAAGAGGGTTTAAGACTAAAGTAGGTTAGCGAATATCAGCTGGATACTGGATTAGGTATTCTTTGTTGAAAATAAAAAGCGTCAATTTAGAGAAAATTTTCTTAGTCTTATTTTATTACTGGCGTTCCTAAGACAACTTTTTAATTTTACATTTCTTGCCGCTTGGAAGCATAATTTCAATTCCTATTTTAAATAGGTACTAGACAATTAATAAAAAGGTTTAATGAGGCAGAAATTCAGTCCTGTAAAGTAATAGCGTGCAATCAATGTAGTGTAAGGGTACATAGTTTCAGCCGTTTCATGTTCATTCATTGGAGAGATCGATCCGGTGTCGTGGCTCAGGTAGTCGATACCCGGCCGACCTGTCTCGAGTTGGATATCAATAAACTACCCTACTATTGGTTTACGTTTTATATTCATGTCTGAAATAATTGGGAAAGCCGTTTGTAGGATATTATGATGTTTTTTTTGCCAGTATCGTTATTTTAGTTGCACTCGTAAGTAGTATAATTTATGTAAATATTCTAAATATCACACAGAAGATCTGCCATAACCTCTCCCTTTTTCGAAGTCGGTTAAAAAAGAAGAGTGTGATTGTATACCCTAAATCGTACAATGAAGCCAAGAACTCTTATATCTCTCTTGACCGAGTTTCTGAGACAGGAACAAATAACGTTTCCTTCTAAGCTTCGCGCCACTTGAAAGTATTATGTGTCGAATCAGTCAATTTGTTAGCACTTTTTGTATACTAAAGGACTAGACTCATGGTAGAGGCAAGCAGTCGATGCGAGTAAATGAGGCGTATTAGTGGCAAATCAGCTACTTAATGTATTGTGTGACGAGTCAACTGATTCTTACTTACTTTGATTGCGTTATAGAACTTTGCGAGTCTTAGTACTTTTTCTCTAGAGGTAGAGACAAGAAGTTTTGTGGAGTTGCGATGACTAGAATAAAATGAGACTTGTTAACAGCAGTTTGGCCATATTGTTGCGAGTCAATTGCTCTTTTGTTTAAAAATTTTTGGCTTTTCATCATTAAAAGAAGCTCCAAACGGTGAAGGTGTCGGACTGGCCGACTTGAGATCCACACTGGTTCGAACCCCGCCGCCGAGTTGAACTGTTGTGGTGAACCCACTCGCACCTCAACCATATTTTAGCTTAGTAAGAGGAGTCGACGGGACTATTACTAATTTTGTGCAATGCAAATTACTAATATTTTATTTCGAAAGAATGAATATTAGACTCGTAGTAGAGGTAAGTCGGTTCGCCACTTGCCGAGTAGCGGCGACTTGATAACAGCAGTTCGGCCTAATGTATTAAGTGGGAAATCAATTGAGTCTTACTCGCTAGTACTTTGTTCAACGACATCGTGATTTTTATCAATAAAATGAGTACCAGACCCATAGTAGAGGCAAGAAGTCGTTTCGCGTCTGGCCGAGTTACGGCGACAGGAATAAATCGCCATTTTTTAAAAGCAGTTCGACCAAATGTTTTAAGCTGAGTGAATAGATTTTTACTTTGTTTAACAATTTCATGCTTTTCATCAATAAAATGAGTGCCAGACCCGTAGTAGAGGCAAGAAGTCGTTTCGCGTCTGGCCGAGTTGCGGTGACGGGAACAAATGCGCCTTTTGTTAATAGAAGTTCGACCAAATGTTATAAGGTGAGTAAATACATTTTTATNATTTTTACTTTGTTTAACAATTTCCTACTTTTCATCAATAAAATGAGTACCAGACCCGTAGTAGAGGCAAGAAGTCGTTTCGCGTCTGGCCGAGTTGCGGCGACGGGAACAAATGAGCCTTGTTAGCGGCAGGTCAGCCACTTGTATTATCTATCGACTCAGCCAATTCTGCTCCCCTCGACTTCGTTTAACAACTTCGCGAGTCTTTAAACTTTTTGGAGTTGAATGGCGAAATCTTAAAAACATTTTTGTGTTTTACAATAGGTTCAAAGATTCTGTTAATGGAAAAATTTATCAGAAAACTTGCAAATAGGATATCAAATTAGTCGAAATATACTGACTGCTTCAATAAAATGTAAAAAGGTTTGCTATGTATTGTTTTATGATATTAATTCTTGAGTCTCATCGATTTCCTACGGGAATATAATATACTAGCTAAGTTACTTAAAGAAACATAACTCTGTTATTAAACTTGTTATCTTCCACAAGTATTTGATATGACAATATGACCGACTTATTTTAAAAGAAATAAATTAAGTATATTACAAAACTGCGTTCCGTTTAGCTCACAACCATATCCGTTATCTACTGGTACTTAGCGATAATCTGAAAAATATGGAAGAAGAAATTTTCGGCGCAATAATAAGTAGTTGAGCGTACCCCACCCGGCTCGACTCACCCGAGAGCAGCGACACCAAATAGCGGGGAACGAATTAATAATGAAACAAAGCGGCTTATATTTCATGGGGGGGATGCGGAAAACCGACCTTATACAGCTGCAGATAAGATCTTAATTGGTGGGTGCAGCGCATAGTATTTAGCGTGGTTGATGTGCCCGCGGCAGGCGAGCGTCACTGAGGCTCTTTGTTTGAGCTGAAGAGCTGACTCTAATAGCTGCAGCGGATCCGCGTTTAAAAATGGACTTTTAAATATTTTATGAAGGAGGGAGAGGATAATGTGGTGTTCACGTGATGCACAAATGCATGCGTAGGTATAATGTTATCACAGTTACGGACTAAGCCTATTTTAACTTTCATTCGAGCCTGACCTAGTTCTAATTTTAATTTGTTTGATGATCTCTATCACACATTTGAAGTTTAGATGGTATTATAAACAAACAGCTAAGGAAAATTAAACGTTATTATAAAATATGCCGGTTGTTATTGACATAAATCTCATTAAGATTCTAAAGTTTTAAATTGTATTGCTTAAACTTCGACAAAGTTGGCTATAATTGAGAACATTAACTTGATAAATATTGTAACAAATCTTATCTAATTTGTAACCTTCATATTTAGATAGGAAACTTTTTGTTGTAAATTCCTGTTCCAATAAAACATTAATTTATCATAAATTTATTATTTGAACTTTATGGGTCACAGAAGTACAGAATACGTAATTGCGCACTGATAAAATTTTGTTCAGGGTATAGTCATAGTTATAGTCATTTATTCCATAAACAATAAGCCCAGATGACTCCAGAGAGTTTCTCCTGATTTACCTACTTTAAAAAAAAATAATAATAGAGCTTGATAAACACAAATAAATGTGTTTCTGTGTAGTTCAATCTGGACTTTCCGCATCTATGTTCAGACAACAGTAAGTCAAGCTAAAAACTATGCCATCTTAGTTGCAAAATCGGCTCTATTATGCAAAAAATGTGTCTGTTTTGGACTGTTACTCCTTGCACTTAAAATGTACAAAAGCTGTTTTTAGAATTCTTTTTACGTACCTCTAGTCCCAGTGAAGTTCCAGTCAGCGTCGTGTGCGTGCGCGCTTCGTGCATACGGCGTTCGCCGGGACCTATTGCCCACTGTTCGCCGGCCCTCGGTCGCTGCAAATACAATTCTTTTAGAATACACGGATTAAGCTTGGGGTTCATTAGAGGATAAATATCTTGTGCCACGTGTTGTCAGATGGGGACATGACTTCGGGTGATTTTGTTCGACTTTAAGATGAGAAAAGTTTAGTGCGATATTTGTACCGTAATGAATGTGAGGCTTAAGAAATTCAGGTAGAATACTTAACCATTAGGTAGAATATGAACTAGTTAGGAGTTTTTATAGGCTGTGGTCACTTAGATGATATTAATTTGTATTATACTAGTAATTATACTGGGTGTGCGTGAAAATTAAGTTTAGTAGAAATCACGTAAAACGTCTCTGTTTAGGACCTACCATAACAAATGAAAAGTCCTGCAAAAATCTGGACATTTTAGCAGTTTTTCGAACCTCAATCACAACAACGTTTTGCTTATTGTTTTTGATACATTCCAACGACAAACCCTAGATAAATCAAAATATCTAGCAGCCATAAATCGCATCGTATGCATGTGTTGCGCATACGAAGTTGTAGACCAGATGCCCGAAGCGCGCCGGCCCTCGGCCACTGCAAACATCCCCTATAGACCAGCTCTCCGCAAATACCACGCTAAATGGGAATAAGAACTGTGGGTAGAATACGTTTCTAGATTACTTTGTCGACCAGAACGGTCAACGACGTTTTTATACCAGAAAACGGAGTATCCAAGTAGTTAGGTGAGAGCATCGCGTCAGCTGTTAAGCACTTGCTATTTCTGATCTTTATTATGTCAAGATTTGAAAACTTGCACTTTCCTATCTTTGGTTTCAATGTATTGCTTTTGTTACTTGTCCAACTGATAGGAAGATACCTTAGTAAAAATTAGTGGACGGTTTAGGAAATAACTTCATAATTGAAAACTAGATTTTCATTTCGGCAATCTCGTGTTATTGTTACTTTTTAAATTATATCTCATCCTACTGCCAACTGTGTGGGCGACTAATTTAATTCATAACGCCCTAAAGTGTCTTTGAGGAGAATTGAGGAGTAAATAAACAAATTTATGGCTTTCGTCTGGGAAGAACGTCTAAATAACATCATTTTGATCCAATTATGAATTGATCTTCAATATATCTCTTACACACCCTGTATACCTATTTCAGAGAACAACAAAAAATGTTTTCCGATTCTGATTGGATAAATCGGAATCATAACAATAAGACGAAACAAATACAAACAAGAAAATAAACTCGTTCAGAAATAGAGTTAGACCAAAACAAGAGCTGTGAAAGCTGTTTACAAGGAAATTCAGAAGATGATAGGCTGCATTGCAATATTGACTCGCAGATCTGCAGTGCATACAAACACGGGTGTTATTTACGCAAGGCGCCTGTGTGTGTAGTCCCACTACATCTTGATTTAATATTTAATACACACAAGCTTTTCAACATTTATTATCTCTGCTTGCATAAATTTTATTATGTATGTTTCATAAACAGTACCCTATGTATGTAGTTCTCTAAATTGTACCTATATCCCACTTGCTCCTATGATTTTTCGGCAGTTGCACCTATGACTTTGCGCTTGACTACGCCATAACGTGATAATAGGAATTGGTTAACGAATAGAAGTGAGTATATCAGTACCTCTAGTAGGAAAAACTTTCGAGTTCGTTTCGTTGCGTATTCAAAGTGTCATCGAAAAATTTTGTATGAAAAATTAAACAGCGCCCTCTATATTAAAGCCGCCCTAGGGGGCGCTGTTTAATTTTTCATAATTTTCATTGATCAAGTATTTTGTTTCTTGAATTTTTAATCCCAAATTGGTAATTAAGCAATTACAAAAAATACTTAGGTAAATAAAGGCTGTGAACATTTTTAATTAAGCTTTTACTATGAAATTAAATGCGTGTGATCGCAAGACGCGCAAAAAAGATTTTCGGATGAAGCTGCGTGCAAAGGCTCCTTTCATAATATTTGTAGCAAACAAATCGATAGCTTTGTACCGATAAATGTTCCCAATTGAATTCCGAACAGGCAATAAATTATCTCAATGATGCTTCCAAGCATTATATTTGGGCAATTTGCGTTACAACAAATATACAATATGAGGTTCGCCTCGAAAGGTTCTCGATTCTCCAAACACTACCTCAGAGAGTAATATTCGGAGGAAAATTATTCAGGAAATGGGATATTTCGGAGGATACCAGTTCAGACTAAAACTCAGGTTAGCGTATTTCACTGAACGCCGGCTCGCCTATCAAATGGAGCGTGGCAGGAGTGGAATTTTTAGAATTTGATTTTATATGAACAGTGTAATGTTCTGCAGGTGCTGTAAATGCGCAGGATTATGAGAGAGTTTAAATCTTTAAACCTGGAAAGTAAAAATGTGAGCTTACTTAGTAGTTAGTACTTACTAAAAGGAAGCTTACTACAATAACGAATGTAACGCAAGTACATTTTTATTAATATCCTGGCTTGTGAGTGGAATTTGACTCATAATAGCACATTATTTAAGGGCACATGAACTCAAATAGCCGCTACAAGTCCGACCTAACTAATAGAAACGTTGGTCCTGTACTTTTTTGTGTATAAGTACAGTTGACGGCACATCAAACTCCATTTCTGCATCTTAAGCAGTTGTAATAAGAGTGATTTCTGATGTCTGTTTGTTGACTGAAATAAAACTACAGACATGCGATCCAGCCTGTAACGAGCGCTGCGGTGACGTGCCCTAGCCGCCCTAGCTCACAAAGGGGCTAGGAAGCGCCGCCCAGGGAAATGTGGTTAGTATAAAAAGTATAAAAGCAACGTTAGGAAATTCTTCGAACAGATCTTGTATGATAGAAAACGATCTTGTAAGTTAAAAGACATAAGACGCAATGATATGATGTTCAATACCTACCTACACAGTTTTGGTATGAAACTAAAAACTTTAAATGAAAAGTATTTTTTGAAAACATTAGAGAGGATAAAGTTATAGACAGAACTTTGAACAAAATGGTATTGAAAAGTTGAAATACTTTCACATTCAATACTTTTACTTTCATATAGCTTTAAAAACTGCTGTACTTTAAAAAGTGTTAGGGTCTTATTAAATACCAAGGGACGCCCAAAAATACAATAAAAATGTTAACAAAATAATGTCAATGTTTTTAAATTACGAGAAATACGCTAGTCATTAGTATTCACTAGAAAATATATGCCATTCATAATGCAAAAATGCAGTATTCAATAAACTGACGCAGCGCTGCGGTCATCAATTAGCCCTTTGAGCGTTTCCGACACTTCTTTGCATAAAGGCACTCAAAGGAAGACTGGGGAAAATCGAGGATAGCTGGCCTTACATTTAGGTACAAGTTCCTACGTGTTCCTAGACCTAAGATTCCACGTGATCGTAGTCTTTAACGTGAGAAAAAAAGTAAAACGAAATAAAATGTAGCCAAGCTGGCATACACATGTGAAATTACATAAGAGAAAGTTGAAACTTTGATGGTTGTTCGTAGTTTGTGCTAATTTACGTGAGAGAACATATGCTGGAGAAACATATGGCTCACTATTCATACATTTCACTCCTAAGTTCTCACGATGATTAGTGTAGCTGTTGGAGAAAATTATCAAAGCTTATTCATCTAAAGTACACGTACCATTTATGACAAATTCAGACAATCCATATGCCTGATCCCTGGAGTTACTCGCGAAGCACTGATAGATGCCTTGGTCATCCTTCTGCGCGTTCCTGATATGTAATCTTAGGCCGTCCTCTGACACCTTGACTCTCTCGCTGGACTTGACCACGCTGGCGTCGTGCACCCAGTAAATAATTTCTATCGGGTGTCCTGACACTTTGCACTCGAAGTTTATGTCAGAGTTTGCTTTTGTTCTTAATATCTCGGGTTTAATTCGGACGGATATTGGTTCTGGAACAAACGTAATAAAATGTAATAGGCTGTACCTATATCAAATGTTATGTTCGCGATGATAGATAGTAGGCAGTTAAATCGGGATATAGGCTATTTCGGACTACTATTTTATTGTTATTCATTTGGTATTCGAGACTGCTTTATGTTATAACCGTCAAAATAGAGTCAAATCATTTTTGTTTAGATGCCTAACAAAAGTTTCTAAACAGAAAGATCTCTCTGTTATTTTTAACTTAAGCAAAATATAATAAGTATTTAACTTCATCCTAGATTGTATCAAAGATTTATTAAGATACCTAGAGCTAGAAACAGAAACTGATACTTTGAGATCGTAGATCTTTTTAATTAAGTTTGCTACGGACTAGAATATTAATTTCAAGACAGTAATGGAAAAAAGTATGCATTTACGTGTCTAGAAAGTCAATATCTGCATTCGAATGATAAGAGGAAAACAGAAAAGTCAACGAATACGAAGAGGAATGTTGATGTTAGTAACTTAATTAAGGAAAGGGATGCATATCCAACAAATTACGTGCTACGTGAGTAATATTTTCAAGCGTCTTCTTAACTAACAACAGTTCTCAGTATAACTAGGTAAGTAGTGCATTTTTCTCACTCGACATCTCAGGTTGCTTCCTTGGTGTCTGTCAGTAGATATCTTCAATTATTTCACTTTCGTTATTATTTGTTTTTCCTTTTTATGTACAGGACAACTCAATCTATATATATAAAAGAAAGTCGTGTTAGTTACTTCGCTTATAATTCAAGAACGGCTGAACCGATTTAGCTGAAAATTGTCAGGGAGGTAGTTTAGAGCTAGGAGAAGGACATAGGACACTTTTTATCCCGTTCGAAATAAAAAAAAAAGTCTGCTTATTTATTGCCATTAAGGCGGAACAAAGTTCGCCGGGTCAGCTAGTTGTCACTATAAGATATTTGTAGGTCAGTGTTTTAGTGTTGTGTTAGGTTCTTTACCTGTTCTCTTCTCTATGGCCACTAAAAGAAAGTCGTGTTAGTTACTTCGCTTATAATTCAAGAACGGCTGAACCGATTTAGCTGAAAATTGTCAGGGAGGTAGTTTAGAGCCAGGAGAAGGACATAGGATACTTTTTATCCCGTTCGAAATAAAAAAAAGTCTGCTTATTTATTGCCATTAAGGCGGAACAAAGTTCGCCGGGTCAGCTAGTTGTCACTATAAGATATTTGTAGGTCAGTGTTTTAGTGTTGTGTTAGGTTCTTTACCTGTTCTCTTCTCTATGGCCACCACCTGCGTCATTGACTGTTTCTTACCTGTGACAATCACTGTGAAGTGTACGGACTCTCCGCCCGCGGTGTTGTTGAGCCAGCACACGAAGCGGCCGGCGTCTTTCCGCCTGACCGCTTGGATGCTAAGCAAACCACTGCCAAGGAGCCGCGCTCGCTCCCACAGAGACGTCTTCTCTATGGCCACCAGCTGGGTTATTGACTGTTCCTTACCTGTGACAATCACTGTGAAGTGCACGGACTCTCCGCCCGCGGTATTATTGAGCCAGCACACGAAGCGGCCGGCGTCTTCCCGCCTGACCGCTTGGATGCTAAGTAGACCACCGCCGAGGAGCCGCGCTCGCTCCCACAGAGACGTCTTCTCTATGGCCACCAGCTGGGTTATTGACCATTCCTTACCTGTGACAATAACTGTGAAGTGTACGGATTCTCCCCCCGCGGTGTTATTGAGCCAGCACACGAAGCGGCCGGCGTCTTCCCGCCTGACCGCCTGGATACTGAGCAGACCGCCGCCGAGGAGCCGCGCTCGCTCCCACAGAGACGTCTTCTCTATGGCTACCAGCTGAGTCATTGACTGTTCCTTACCTGTGACAATCACTGTGAAGTGCACGGACTCTCCGCCCGCGGTATTGTTGAGCCAGCACACGAAGCGGCCGGCGTCTTCCCGCCTGACCGCTTGGATGCTAAGTAGACCACCGCCGAGGAGCCGCGCTCGCTCCCACAGAGACGTCTTCTCTATGGCCACCAGCTGGGTTATTGACCATTCCTTACCTGTGACAATAACTGTGAAGTGTACGGACTCTCCCCCCGCGGTGTTATTGAGCCAGCACACGAAGCGGCCGGCGTCTTCCCGCCTGACCGCCTGGATACTGAGCAGACCGCCGCCGAGGAGCCGCGCTCGCTCCCACAGAGACGTCTTCTCTATGGCCACCAGCTGCTCGTGGTGGTCACGAAACCACCTGGGGAAAGTAATGGAGAATTAGAAAATAAAGTTAAATTGTTGAGGGATATGGATATCTTTGACTGTAACGCCCAAAAATCTGCAGACCTAAGCCTAAGTAAGTGGACCAAATAAGTAGGGAAGTAAATTACGCTTATCTAATTAGCTTTAAAGGTTCAGCTAAACCAACACGAGTAGTCCGCGTGCGCGATGGCAATCTTACTGATTTAAACTGAACGCTGAACCTTTAGTATCATCGTTTCAAGTCATCGCATGATATTATGCACGAAATGGTATGTGATTCGTGTTGATACAAAGCTTTACAAAGGCTTAATTTTAAGTTTTAATTTAAAGTAGCATAAATTACTGTAAAAGGTTTAGCATTCTGAAGAAAATGAAGCAGAATTACAGTTATACAAGTTACTTAAAGTTTGTACTGCCTGCTGCTTCTGTGAAGCTGCCATTTCACTGCAGGGCACGATCCTTCGACTTGTATAATCCTATCGTTGTCGGAATCCTATCCTACTTTATCGTGATCTTAATAATCTTATTAACTTTCTAACGTTTTCATGAAATTATCATTTATATTTTACGATGACCTTACTCACGGAATAACAATTCAAGTTATTGTAAAATTAAATGTTAGTGTATATGAAATTAATGAGTTAATAGTCGTATGGAGTTATAGTTTACCTACGAGTATATTCTAATACTAATTCATAAAGTAAGTTACTTATAACCGTTATCTAGCGCCATAGGAACAAGATCCAATTAATAGAACTGGTAGAACACTATCAATAATTAATTATTAATTTTTTCATTTTTAGTTTCATTAAAAGCAATTTGATTTACTTACTTGAAATATTAAATTCTGTTCGATGAAAACGGTCAGTTTCATACTTTCAGAGAGAACGAAATAAGTTGCTTGTTATAATTTCCTTTTGACGATTTATAATACCACATTAAAGCTCATTTTGCAGAAGTTGGAGGAAATCTGCTAAAGAATTACGATCCGTTTTCTTAGTACAGTTTTATTAAAGGTTTATTTACTGTGAGCTATTATACTTCACGCCCAAGAAATTAAACTTGCTAGCTGACTTGGCTGTTACAGAACTAATTGCAAATATGGGTGTAGAGAATGTAATTACTTTATACCGTGTTAATAAACAAGTAAGATATCAATCCTACTGCTCATTTTGTAAAATGAACAATGGAAATTATTATATGAAAGCACGAAATTGTCCTGAAAATTTAACGAATCGAGTTGGATTTAGGTTTAGGAGGTTAATAATGAGCATAAAGTCGTTTGCGTAGTATTATTTTGACTAAAGGGCTTTCAATATTCTAAATTAAGACTAGGGTAGACCTGAAAGTGATCAAAGAATTCACTAAGTACTTATTATTATTATTAAGAATGAGTTTGGTACTTCCATTTTAAGTTAGTAGATTACAAAATATTATTACAGTGGGTAAACAACACTAAACAAGCTTGATAAAGTTTTAACCTTAGCTCGGTTAAAACTTACTCACAACAAACAATTTAAAGTAAATTGTGTCACAATTTGCAATCTTGGGGCTTACATTGTTTCGCGCAAACTACAAGAAAACAATCTTATGCGAAATTCCGGGGAAAATGAAATGGTTATACGACGAATATCCTCAATGTTCTTAGTGTTAGGTCCCTTTTAGAAATAGTTTTGAAAGGAGTTGAAATGCAGCGGGACATTTGCATTCAAAAAGGTTTCCTGACTATGGCTGGGTATGAAAGTTTATGGCGCCGTCAGTAAGCTCTCGCCTTAGTTATTCTTTGTAGAGAAACGTAGATTCTACACCCTTTACTAGAGATGCGAAGGTATTGTTATTTTTTATGTTAATTACGACTATATTCTTTAACTCCAGTAACTCGTAGGTAATACCTTTCGTTTACTTATTTCTCCAGAATTTTGGTGAAGTGTTGTTAGTAGAGGTTTGATTTGGATATTGGTTTGATTCTCGTGTAGGACAGTTAAAAAAAGATGATGACATAGCAAGAATACGAGTACAGACAACGTGCCTAAATAAATGTAAACTGTTTTTTACCTGTGGGAACCTATAAGTGATTTGCTTGTTGCCTATTATTAAAACCCTGGTTTTCCTAAATAATTCAATAAATAAACATGAATGTTCTTTCCGCATAGTAAAGTCCTATTACAACTAACTTTTCTACTACATTAAAGGCATACAGGTAGTTCAAATCCCACCGCAATCGGCCATTATATCGGAAATAAGCTTCACAAGTCGTTACCCGGTGATAGTTGACTTAAATTTTAGTTACGGTCGAAATAGCTCGTTAGTGGCCAAACTGCCTCAGTTATAGTCAAATTAATAACTATTACAGGTATAACTTGCCCGGATTTGAATGGGTTAACTTTCGGTTTGTATTTATGGCAGTATACCGGTTCCCAACGCAAACATAAAGTTCGGAACTAATGTGGACAGTGTCTGTTAGTTCGTGTGGTTATCCTACACAGCTTTGAGTTTGGGGCCGAAGTTAGAAATACAAATAGAATACGTATATCAAGATTCAAACTTCGCAAGGTATTGAATGTTCTCGGTCTGGTCTGCAGATTTTATCTTGTGGAAAATTCTGGATGGACTTTGCGAGGAACGCTCTTAGTCTAATGCCAAAGATTAAGATAGAGTAATTGGTACTACTTAGTTAAACGTCTTGGTTGTAGGTAATGATGATGAAATAGCAATTAAAAAGATATTAGCATAAGAATAGGGCCCAAGTATAGATAGTAAAATTCCCTTGTGCGTGCTCTAAATCATCATCAACATTAATGTCAGGCTATGGCGTGGTAATCCTGCCTTCAAGGGGCTTCACATATGTAGTTCAGTCACCCACTTTATTTATCCAACCACTACTAAGCTCTTGAGTTCGTCGGTCCATCGTGCAGTGAATACTTCTCGACATGAAAATTTGGAGAACACTCTAATAGAAACTATAATAAATTAATGTTGTGAAGAACACTTATCGTAACAAATTATACTACAGCAAGAAGAAGAAGGGTAATTAAATTTCACAACTCATAACGTCTGGTTATAGTGAGCGCACTTTTCTCATTTGCGAAGATTAAAATGGGCATTTCATTAAATCATCCGGTTATTGGGTAGCCTGGAAACCGAGGTTCCGTTTATTTTAAAATATTTAGTTTTAACGCAATAGTGTTACGGTTGAATTTTCAAATACTATTACACCACCTATAAAAAATTACGATTGCCTATTGCTGTTTCACGTATACAATTTTTTTACAACGCCAGTTATTTGTGTGGGTTAAAATCCCAAGAGGGATAATGATGGGCATTTGTACCTGGTGGTGTCATGTAATGTATATTTAGGTATAATATACTTTTTAGGCTTGAAATCTAGTAGCTTTGTTTTATTAGAGGCTAAGTAATTTTAGGAACAGTAAATTTTTAGCTATGTGAAACCTAGACAGTCCGCTGTTTTCAAAACCTTTGGGTACATATAAAACCGAGGTAAAAGACTGGAAGCGCTTCATAGCTTGTTTCTACAGCCGGCGAGAGGCGCTACACTGTGTTTGCTTAGAGGCGAAACCTTTTAGCTGGCAGATAGAGTGACAACAGATATGAACACATAAGGAAGATCATATAATTTCTCAAGTGAAATATCTTTTTTTTAGATTTTACGAAGTAAAATATATTTAGATTTTAAAATACAGGGTGGACCAAAAATTTTTGCAGGCAGCAACGCTTGATTTCTCGAAAACGGTTCGAGATATGGACGCGTGGATGATGGGAATCTGTGCATAGTTTCATTAATTTTTAGTAAAAAAATCTATACAAAAAGCACGCTGTTGTCCAGTGAAACGTTCCATGGTGACTAAAATTTTATGCAATTATGCACAGTTTCCCATCACTCACGCGTCCCTACCTCGAACAGATTTCGAGAAATCAAGCTTTGCTATCTGCAAACAATTTTAGCCCACCCTGTAGATCTTACGTTTTGTATTGCAAAGCAATGTTCTTCACAGCAAAGTGGATTATGACAGAAACTTGGACGCACCCTGCCAAAATTTAAACTGCCGGAATATAACCAGCATGATATCCATTAGCGCGATCTTTGTACCATCTCTTTACATTATGAAAGCTTTGGTGAATGCACGTTAGTCCCATTTTAGACGGGATAGTCTGCATGACAGATGCTTCCATTTACTGGCGTGCGGCTCCAAAGCATCGCCTAAACAATGGGTGAACGGACGGGTAAATTATAAACGTCGCTATTCCGCGAACAATGGAGGACATTATCGCGCCCACAGCTGGGCACTGGCCAATTATGGGCCTTGCTACCCGGCTAGGCCAAGTCAGGATTTTACCTTAGAATTTCGGAGAAAATTTTCAGCATGGCAACCCAGTGTCTCTTTTTTAAATAAAAAGTTGTATAAAACATTGGAACTCTTTGCGAATTACTCGTAAATATCCGAACAAAAGGTTTTTTGGCCGCCGAGCTGAGCTAAATTAGAGAACTTAAATCACAAATTGGTTGACGAAATCAGTTGATTGTAAAAATGTCAAAATAGCTTTTAATAATATTATGGGACTTGTTTGAAAAGTTGGCAACTCTGTCTGTTTAAAGTCCTTGATGATAGAGAGCTTGATGTAGGTCAGTTTTTAACTTTAGTAATAAAGGCAAAACGAATTTTGAGCAAAATTTATGTCTGGGTTTCAATCACATCGAAATTGGCTCTAGTTCAATTTATACTAAGCCTATTACTTAGACTAGTGTTACAGTATAGCTACCATACGAGTACCTAAATCCATTAAGTATGTGACGGCGAGGCTAATTGACGGAATTTCCGACATCTACAGGGTGTCCCAAAAACAATGGATAACCCTGTAACCATCTATAGGCCTCGCCATGGTCTCCCTAACGTCCAATTTTGACCCCAGTAAAAATATCACCGTTTTCAAGATTTTTAAGTTTTTGTGCATTTTTTGAAAATTGCCACCTGCGTAGGACGTCCACTTACAAAGTGGACTGACGACCTCATAAAGGTAAGCAGGAAGGTGCTGGGTGCAGGCCGCTACCAAGCGGTCATTATGAAATCATTGGGGTACAGGCCTATGTTCAGCAGTGGACGTCCTATGGCTGAAATGATGATGATGATAAAATGTTACTTTATTAAAATTCCTACGCTAAAAATTATCCATTTGTATTTAATGCCACTATGCAGTCCTAGTTTAACTATTACGAGAAAAACTCATTTTTGCAGTTTTCATACTAGTTGCTATTCAAGTAGCCATAATACAGAATACATAGGCTTATGATACCTTTTTAGAATCTCAATTAACCAAGGAAGTTTTTAAGGTAATGGGCACGATGGTCTTCCTACATTTTTTTTACACGACGGCTGATCAAAAGTGCAAGACAATGAATTAATTTTTCCTTCTTCTCTGCAATTTCTTAAAATTTTCATACTTTTAAACTAGTTTGTTGAACTTTAATCTTTTCTTTTGATAGCCCAACTATCCCTTGTAATAAGGAAAAAAACTAGATTTAAAAGTATCCTCATTTGTAGAAATGGCATGAGAAAAAGTAATCGCAGGTGGCAATTTAAAAAAAATGCACAAAAACTTAAAAATCTTGAAAACGGTGATATTTTTACTGAGGTCAAAATTGGACGTTAGAGAGACCATGGCGAGGCCTATCGATGGTTACAGGGTTATCCATTGTTTTTGGGACACCCTGTATATTACATACCACTCACTGATTAATCACGAAATCTCAGAAACTATAACACCTACAAACTTGAAATTTGGCAGGTTCCATAAACAGAGTGGAATTTTGTGGTGCCACCTGGAGGGAAATTCTTAATACTGTAGATAGAAAAATTTACTCAAATAAAATTGATAAAACGGGGTCCACGCGTACTTAGTCTCGGGCGGCCGCTAGTAATGTGTATAACACGTAAAAAATTTAATGAATTTAAACTTTTTAAACGAATATTCACACATAACGTATAAATATATTGGACATTCTCACCTGTAACTGGGCACTGGCCACGCGTGCGCCGCACACGGCAGTTTGATGTCGTGCCCGGCTTGGACCCGCCGGGTCCTGGATTCGACGGCTACTCGGGGCCGGACGCCGCCTTTGGGCTCTGTCACTATTAGGTGACCTGTTGACAACAAAACAAAAGAAGATTATAGCGCACGTCGCACAGGCATTATATATGTGGCCTTTGTTCAGCAGTGGACAGCATTTTAAGTTGAAAGGACGATACATTGATACAGCACACATTGTTGTGCAAGTGTGCCCAGGCACCCAAAAATAAATACGAGTAGACACCATGATACTCGATGGCAATTATTTGCCTGCGTATTTACAAATTAACAATTTTGGAAAATATGAACCTTTATTGGTATTCTCATCATCATCATCACAGCCATAGAACATCCATTGCTGAACATAGGTTTACCCCAATTATATTGGTATTCTATGTATAATTAAATAAAGGGCTTATAAAGGGCTTAAGACTTGGTGAAATTATTTTGAGCAATTTTTTTAGTATTTAATATCAGGAACATATAAGATCCTAGTCCGCTAAAATAGTTTTCAGGCGAACTATACTAAATAAACACGCGAAATATAGCATGTATTAATAATGCAAACATAAATTAAGACAATGTAACAGCATCGCAATAAACGAGCTTAGAATACAATGTAGGTATCACAAAGGCTCTATTGTTATGTGAAATGTTTTCACGCGATCTACGGGAGGGCAAGGTTCATGACGGTGTTAACATTACGAAACTGGTTATGGATGAAAAGAGATCATAAAAATGTCTTCGCCTGCCAAGTTTATGAAAGTTCGGAGGCGCTTTGAATTTAATATAATAACTTTCTAAAAATGTCAGCCTTACACTGAAAACAATATTTTAGTAGTCGTTTGTTAGTGAAGGAATGTTTTTCTACTTCTAATATTCAAATTGTCCGCGTTGAACAGATGATGCTGAAGGGTCATAATATTAGGTTAATGTAGATATGAAACTGAAGTCACAAAAGTATAGGTATACGCCTAAAAAGATTCTGTTCACTTCACACTGATCAGACGGATTAAGGAATCCTGATCTTCCTTAGTCGCGTCCTACGAGTGAGACTCTACTCTGCTAAAGCATGAAAAAGATCATGAATTCTGACTTCAATTGAAGGTTTTGGTTACAGTCTACATGCTAAAAGAAGAGTATCCCTTACCAAAGTACTGGCAGGAGTCGAGCACCCCGGTGATCCGGTCCCGGACGCGGCACCGGAACGTGCTGTACCGGTCCAGCGGGCTCACCGCGCTGATGTACAGCGACCCGTCGTCCAGCTGCTGGTATTTGTACCTGATGATAGAAACAGCGTCTCTTACCAAAGTACTGGCTGGAGTGGAGCACCCCGGTGATCCGGTCCCGGACGCGGCACCGGAACGTGCTGTACCGGTCCAGCGGGCTCACCGCGCTGATGTACAGCGACCCGTCGTCCAGCTGCTGGTATTTGTACCTGATGATAGAAACAGCGTCTCTTACCAAAGTACTGGCTGGAGTGGAGCACCGCGGTGATCCGGTCCCGGACGCGGCACCGGAACGTGCTGTACCGGTCCAGCGGGCTCACCGCACTGATGTACAGTGACCCGTCGTCCAGCTGCTGGTATTTGTACCTGATGATAGAAACAGCGTCTCTTACCAAAGTACTGGCTGGAGTGGAGCACCGCGGTGATCCGGTCCCGGACGCGGCACCGGAACGTGCTGTACCGGTCCAGCGGGCTCACCGCACTGATGTACAGTGACCCGTCGTCGAGCTGCTGGTATTTGTACCTGATGATAGAAACAGCGTCTCTTACCAAAGTACTGGCTGGAGTGGAGCACCCCGGTGATCCGGTCCCGGACGCGGCACCGGAACGTGCTGTACCGGTCCAGCGGGCTCACCGCGCTGATGTACAGCGACCCGTCGTCCAGCTGCTGGTATTTTGTACCTGATGAAAAAAAAGTTTCATCAGTTTATTATGAACATTTAAGTTTTGTACAGCTGATAGTGGCTGAATTATTATCTATACCAGTTAAAGGGTTAAATAGTAAAAAACACATTGTTTACGTCTTATTTGGAAATATTAGAGAATATCGTACCTGAGCGGAGAGATTTTTTACACGAACAGCACCTGCAGGTGCCCTACAAGCATTAAATCTAGCATAGCAAGAAAGTGTAGAAATTAAAACATACTTAGGTACCTACCTAGATACGATTAAAATTTCTTGTAACTTCCTAAAGTGTCGTGATTTACGATAGATTACTAGGGAATTTTTACTTCAATGAAGGAGATTCAGTTATTTTAAAATTCCAAGCAAAAGATTGTTTTCAACGATTATGTTCTTCCAGTTAAAATTTTAATTCACTCACATAACTGAATTAACAATGTTCATGGAATCGTAAAATAAGCAGTTCATAATATGCAAATGTTGTACGCACATTTTCATTTCAAAATACAAATAAATTCCCCCGATCGTAAATAAATTAAATGAGTATTAAATTTTTCATTACACTCCACAAGTCGAATTTCACCCGCCAAATTAACAAGCCGCGCTCTTTTGTTNCGCCGCGCTTCGCGTAAACGCTCTTAAGGAAAAAGTTTCGAAACTTTTTCGGCCATTTTTAGAAAAAAAAATGATGCCATTAAAAATAGTATCTGTCTGTTAAAAATAGTAGCAAAACTATTAATTTATTTTGAATAATTTGTAAATAATACGTTTCTTTCGCTGTGGAAATTTAGAAAAAGTACAACCACAACACAATTTGTGATAAAAGATTATGTTATCTCATGTAATTTTAATCGTAAAGCTTAACTAATCTCAGCACTAACTTTAATTATGTTTATGTATTTTCAAGATAGTTAAATGTAGTTTGTAGTTAACTAAGATGCGCATCGCGCACAGTTTAATTTGCTTGGAGTACTCCGCTCGTTTCGTAACAGCGTTATGGCAAAGCAAAGGAACCTTTCCTTAGATCAATTACCATAATAATGCACGGAAATTTTGGAGTAGAACCAAAAACAGTTGAGTTTTAACTAGCTTTACTTTAAGTTTCTTGGAGACGTAAGAATATTTCGACTCTTTCATATTTTCTAGTTAAGAGGGTCCTGCACAGAATTCTTAAAATTGTCATGTTTTTAAATCACGAGTGCTCTGCGATTAGTGAATTAAATACATCAAAGAAACTTGTGTAGGGTAGCCCAATCCTTGATCCAGGTCGCCGCCTTTTCGAAATTTTGAATAAATACGTAAAAAATTGATAAACAACATTTAAATTGCAGACATATGGAAAATTTATTTCTTCGAGAACTTTGTTAATTTAACGTATGAAGCAATATAATTTTTATATGGAAATGTTTAAATGAATATTTTGAAGGTCGCCCCCTTTTTCGTTTTTGGTATTAATGCATTAATATTGAGATTTTTGATTTTCCCAAAAAAAACTTTGCCGTGAAGAAATCATCAGGCGGTATGCTTTATCGTAGCTGTCAAGTGTCAAATGTGTGTTTGTCAATCCTTTACAGAGTAGTGTAGAGCGCAGAGCATGCAAATACACTCGCGAGCAAAAGTATGGAATCACTTACATGAAGTTGTTTCCACGCGATCTTGTGTACTAACGAATTTGTTAGTAACAAAAAAAGTGACACCATTTTAAAGATTACACTTTTAACTTTAAATTGATACCAAATTCATTTAAATCACAACAGTATTTAAAAAGATATCCATGCTGATGTAAAGAAGTAAGGAAAAAGACATGAATCAACTGTTTGATACGTCGCAAGTTGCGGCCTATTTACCCCCTATAAAAGCACGTGTTTTCGGATTTTTGCTTTCACACGTTGATCCATACACATCTCCGCTTCTTTTGACACTTTACCTGGGATTCTACACCTTCAGAAGCAGCACAAATCGTTGCACTATTGCAAGAAGGGCTCAGCCAGCGGACTGTCGCACGTCAGCTCCACATAAACCAGTCCTGGGTTTCGAAAGTTTTAAGACGCTTTCGGGAGACTGGTGGCTTTATCCCGAGACCAAGTTCTGAACAGCGCCGGTGCACATCGCAGAGGGATGACCATTTTTTCATGTCAACCTCTCTATGAAATCGTAATTTGACTGGTATCAACGTCCAGCAAGAGCTCAGAAATGTTCGTAGGATAGCTGTTAGCGAGTGAACAGTTCGTCTAAGATATAAACAATAGAATTTGACTCCAAAAAGGCCTGCCACTGGCTCGAAACCGACGGCAGGTCACCGATAAGCACGCTTCCAATTTGCTCGTACACATCTCGATGGGAAGTCGAGCAAGCCACCCCCATTAGCCACTGTTTCAGCGAACCAGCACTGCACAAATCGCTCCCCAGGCCGCCTATAGACCCGACCTCTTCGACTGCTGCACTGCAAACACAATCTGCATTCATTGGAGAACAAAACTCGCCTCCATTACTTGCCTTCCCATCAAAATAAGTGCGAGCTAATTGAAAGCGTGCTAATCGATGACCTGCCGTCAGTTTTGAGCCTGTGCCAGGCCTCTTTGGAGTCAAATTCTATTGTTTATATCTTAAACGAACTGTCCACTCGCTAACAGCTATCCTACGAACATTTCTGAGCTCTTGCTGGACGTTGATACCAGTCAAATTACGATTTCATAGAGAGGTTGACATGAAAAAACGGTCATCCCTCTGCGATGTGCACCGGCGCTGTTCAGAATTTGGTCTCGGGATAAAGCCACCAGTCTCCCGAAAGCGTCTTAAAACTTTCGAAACCCAGGACTTGCTTATGTGGAGCTGACGTGCGACAGTCCGCTGGCTGAGCCCTTCTTGCAATAGTGCAACGATTTGTGCTGCTTCTGAAGGTGTAGAATCCCAGGTAAAATGTCAAAAGAAGTGGAGATGTGTATGGATCAACGTGTGAAAGCAAAAATCCGAAAACACGTGCTTTTATAGGGGGTAAATAGGCCGCAACTCGCGACGTATCAAACAGTTGATTCATGTCTTTTTCCTTACTTCTTTACATCAGCATGGATATCTTTTTAAATACTGGTGTGATTTAAATGAATTTGGTATCAATTTAAAGTTAAAAGTTTAATCTTTAAAATGGTGTCACTTTTTTTGTTACTAACAAATTCGTTAGTACACAAGATCGCGTGGAAACAACTTCATGTAAGTGATTCCATACTTTTGCCCGCGAGTGTAGTATCTCTTTTGTTATGAAAAAATATTTTACTTATTTTATAGTTAATATCTTAATATGGCTAGAAAACCCTTGCAACCTTTCTTTGCCGTTCATTCGTTTCAGCCGAAAGACGTCCATTGCTGGACAAAGGCCTCCCCCAAGGATTTCCACAAAGACCGGTTTTTCGCCGGCGCTGCACCCCCTTAAGGGTTCCGTAAGTGGGACTAGGGTAAAAAAAACCTCTAACATGTTTTTTTCCCTGGTTAGGAGATATTACGCTTCAGTTAATCTGTAAAAATAATTAGGATAAAACAGGCTATTAATAAAATGAATAAAAAATAGTGACAACGAATACGACTTCGACGTACGAAGGTGACTGAGTTTCTTCGCCACTTCTTAGCGCCAGCCAATAATTACGTTGTTCCTATGGTGGTAGCGTAAAATACATAGAAGAAAAGGGCCTATATTCTAACTAAAGAATTATAAAACGTGTCGACGTTTTATGAACTGTATTTCCATACTGTTAATAAATTGCCGTGACAGGATACCCCCCAAGTTTCGCTTAAGCGTGCCGCTTTTTCTTTTGGTGAAAATGAGATTTCGGATGGAAATGTAATTGCGTGTGTCGTGAGCTTTACTTGACAAGAGTTTTGATGAGAAAATTTCGTGACAAATATTTGCCCATCGCTTGGCACATTTTGAATGGGATATTACTCACTTTAATTTGCGTATGACATTAAAAAGATAAGCGAGCAATTGAATTGCTTTTTGATATTATATTAAAATTGCGTTTCTAAAAGTGGTACTTATCTTAAATATTGAATTCATACAGTTCGAGTAGGTAAATATAGGCTAAACCCAATTTTCTTGATGATTTTCTTATCTGTAATCTCATTTAATAATATAATAATTCTATTTATATTCATAGAATTTATTCTATTATTGATTTAAATATTTATAAGCTAGCTTAAACAAAATAATAGAAACCCTACGGAATTTAAAATTAATTAACATTCTAATGTTAGTTACAGTTCTGCTATTTATTTGTGTTAGGTAAATAACTAAAGTACCTACTTACATTAGGACTTAATTCAAAGTTAGATACAAATTCAACTGAAAGTTAAATGAAACTCAGGAACGATTAATTTTCGCTGTGTAGTTAGAACTAAAGTTTACTTTTCTGTATCATTAACTGCGATGTAGCTGCAAATGCAATATTTTGTAGACACGGCCAATGCTTTTTGCTGGAATAGACGTCTCAAGAGACCTGATTTAGCTTTTGTTACTCCTTCTAGCTTAATATATCAAGCAGATGCTCCTTTCAAATAATGAAAATGAAAAATTTTTATTATATATTTTCCAGTAGAAGTCACCCAATTTGTTTCATGCAAAATTTCATGTAGATAACATAATTTAATCCTCTCGTGGATATAAAAATGGATTATTGGACTACGTAACTAATTTTATCATAGAAGTACCTACTTGTTTTAGGTGTGGGTTCACCACATCAGTTCAACGGTCGAATTGTGCCACCACTTAGTTCCACGTCATGAGCTAATTGTGCTCAGGTGTGTGAGATTGACACGTCTAGTAGGAATTAATCAGTGTTACGTCACTCACCCAAATACCGCATCACGCTGGACGTCTTCGTCAGTGAACTAGTCGGTGCAGCTGACATGGTCAAGGCAGTGAGCACTACCGAGGAGTATTGCCGCGTTGCCTTCTTTCTCTCTGCCACTCCTGTCGTAGCAACCATTTTATGACGTCACTCACCCAAATACCGCAGCACACTGACGTCATCGTCAGTGAACCAATCGGTTTCGCCGACGCGGTCGAGGCAGTGGCCCGGCACCACGCACCGCAGGACCGCCGCGTTGCCTTCTTTCTATGTACCACTTCTGAAGTACTAACATTGTGACGTCACTCACCAAAATACCGCAGCACACTGACGTCGTCGGTGAACTATTCGGTTTCGCCGACGCGGTCGAGGCAGTAGGCCGACACCACGCACCGGAGGACTAAAGCGTTACTTTTTTTCTCTCTTATATGTTGTAGTAACTGTCAATGTGACGTCACTCACCCAAGTACCGCAGCACGCTGACGTCATCGTCGGTGAACCAGTCGGTTTCGCCGACGCGGTCGAGGCAGTGGGCCGGCACCACGCACCGCAGCACCGCCGCGTTGCCTTCTTTCTATGTACCACTTCTGAAGTACTAACATTGTGACGTCACTCATCAAAATACCGCAGCACACTGACGTCGTCGGTGAACTATTCGGTTTCGCCGACGCGGTCGAGGCAGTAGGCCGACACCACGCACCGGAGGACTATAGCGTTACTTTTTTTCTCTCTACCATATGTTGTAGTAACTGTCAATGTGACGTCACTCACCCAAGTACCGCAGCACGCTGACGTCATCGTCGGTGAACCAGTCGGTTTCGCCGACGCGGTCGAGGCAATGGGCCGGCACCACGCACCGCAACACCGCCGCGTTGCCGGCCATCACGTATTCATCTGGCACGTGCACCTCCCATGGTATGTTCAGTGCTGTGGTACACATTGGCTTGTTAATTAATGCTTTTTTAGCAAATGGCTATGAAAAGCAGCATTACGTCATGAGTACCTTCAAAGAATGTTCAAAGCCCTAACTGTTGTTAAAAAATTTTGACGAGGCAATCTGGCAAATGTTGATATTTTTGCAGAAAACAATGTGTTACTGTTAACTTACAAAACATAGGTTATTACAAAAAAGTTGAACACTGTTTTAAAATGTTATATTTCCCTATGGAACCTATGTACTAAATGTCAATTTAAACAAGTGTTCAACGGACGTTTAACTTTTTGTTATAAGGCCCAGAAAGTTCAAAATAATTTAATTTTAAAATCATCAGTTAAACAAAGAGGAAAACGAAAAAACTGACTGTACATACACATATTCGATTACATTACTGAAATTCCAACTTCACTGCGAAATACGTAATTAGAAATAATGGTTGCTTTGAAACACCCGACGACTGTACACCCAGCATCGCTCCCTAATCCCTTTTATAGCCCGGTTTTTTCTTTCGACCTAATTGTTCAAAGTATTTTGCTTTAAGCTTTCCTTTCGCTCGCTTAATTTGGACGCGTCTACGCGTGTACTAATATATTTGATCCTAAAGACATTAGGCCTAAAGCAATTTTACGCAGGCGTCCAAACAAAAATATATTTACACTTGTACCAAGAAAAGGATATATTTTTAAGAATAATGGAGCACAAAGAAAATAAAGGCGCTGAAATGGTTTCTCTCCATAAGGACCTCTCATGTCTTCTCGATTTTTGTCAACAGTTTTGCAGATTGCTTTTGGACATAACAAAGTTTGTATGGCACAAACGAAGTTGTTAGGGCTTCTTATATCCTCATCTTTTGAATTCTATTGGTTATATTCCCTTGGAAAATGAAATGCTTGGGACTAATTAGCGAATTCAAATCCGTTGCCTTTCAGTTCCTCGCTGGAGGCCTTAAGAAATGTTTCTAAGGAAGTTCTGTAAAGCCGTGTTACGAGTACATACACTTTTATTTAAGTTGCCAAAAGTCCCGAGGTTCTTTTTTCAGCCTTGTATCTGTCACCTGCTGTTCTGTAAAGTTCGACCTTAATTTGAGTACGGATACGGAACGTCGAGAAACATTTCTTGAAACTTTAAGGCCCGTATTCTGAAACAACGTTCAGACAGAACTTAATTCAAATTGAAGAACAGATACTTATTAGTATTTGAGTTTACTTTCAGAATGCAGGCTCGAGTATGCTTTTCAATTGAAAAAATAACTGCCATAATAGAGATGAGTTACCGACATATCCTTTTGAGTTATCAAACACTGCACCGACTCTATCGTTAAATCACAGGACGTACTTCCGCTGTTGAACATAGGACTCCCCCAATGATTTCCATATTGACCGGTTGGTAGCCGCATCCAGCACCTTCTATGCTACCTTTATGAGGTCGTTGGTATACTTTAACTTAACACTTTTATAACAATTCTTACCAGCGTGTAAATGAATGTTTTTCGACAGCACAGCGAAACCGCCAGCGAGGCCGACGCGGCACCTGTACGTGGTTGAGTGCACGTCCCTCCGGTACCGATCAGGAGGGGAACGGAGGCAGCTCGAGCGAGCCGTTGGCCAGCACCCGCCGTAAGCCCGCCACCGGCGTCACCGGCGTGCCATCCATGAGCAACCAGTCCAGCTGGAACAATGAGAAAGTAAGGAATTATTACTACTGTATTTATAATGGTTAATAATTAGTATACACGGATTCTTCATATCATCGGTAACTTTTATTTTATGTTAGGGACCTGAATATGTCAAACAAAATTAAAATTTCTAATAAATCGACTGCCTCTGCTTCCATGTTCGTCTTGAGGCGGTGCCCACTTACCTATTACGTATTGTTTTATTTCAAGTTTTTGTAACAGTGTGTGTTCCAAATTAATAATATTCCTTATTTCACAATTTTCGTCGGAGTCTCAACACAGTGTAAAATAATCCTTCTGTAGATAAAGTCCAAACTTTCAGTAGTGAATGTTCTTTAATCAAGTTTTCCCCAGACTTAAAAAAAAACAATAGAAACTCTGCTGAATTTCATAAGCAGGGAGCAGAAATGTCTAATTTGGGATAACAAGACGCAGTTACGTTACATATTATCTGAGTTGGACGCAAGCAAAATACTTTTATTAGGGAGGAGGTCTGCCAAGAAAAATATGGAATTTGGGGCGTACTGGTCTTTGAATTAAGGAAACAACCCTCTAGGAAGGCGCAAGATGTTGAAAACTCCAAATTGTATTAACGTTTTGGTGAAAACTTATTCTCTTATACATTTCATTGTTGCGAAAAAAGTTGGTGAGACGTTCTGGTGCTCGTGACGGCTAAATACGTTACATGACGATATTTATACCGCACCAGGGAATATTCGAGAACGTTATAAGCCCCAAATTTCGCTCCCCAGTGAGTCTTTTCGCGGTTTTTCCCGACGTTTGTTTTGAAGTAAATATTTGACCTTTTTTCAGACAAATGGACTGGATCGTGTTATCTTGTTTTTGTCTGTTTGGGCGATGTTTTGCTTGGATTCTTTTGCAGAAGCTAAATTGGTCTGGTGAGAATATCAAATAACGACTTGACAATTTACTAGACCTTAGATACTTGTGATGCCGATAAAATTGAATCAGTGATTCGGACAAAATAATTTTTACTTATTCAAAGCAAAATTTATTTGTTAAGTAGGTTATTATAGGTGTACCAGAATCTCATGGCAAATAGGGAAAATAAACTTTGTTGAGAGCAATACTGGGGAAATTGGAATAAACGATCTTGATACTATTTAATTTTTTACTTTTATTACTTTAATATTAATGAACATCAGACATCAGATTTTTAANCTACAGCACTTTGTTTTTTTTCTCAATTCGGTGCTAAAATTAATATTTAGTAAAATTAATATTATTTCAAAAATAAGTTTTATTGTCTTCTGTCCAATGACTGGTAGTGTTCAATGATTGGTAGTTCACCATATTATTATGCTCTATTAATTTCAATATCATTTTAAGATACACAAGCAATTTACTGTCTCCATTTTCATTAAATATCAATTCGGTGTATACGTTTTCTCAATTCGATGCCCCATATTCCGCGGAATTGAGATCCACGGAATTGAGGAAACATCACAATCCATCAAATTACTCGAAAATGTTATAAATTACAACAATTTCTACAAAACGTAATGGCAGATATCAGTTAAATACTCAATTAATTCAGCAGTAATCTCATTAAATACTTCATGTACATTATTAATGTCGCACACCGATTTGAGGAATGACCAGTGACCAAAAATTCTGAGTGAGATTTCAAACCTCTGAAAAATGCTCCTCAAAGCGACAGATCCCTCTTCTACACTGCTCGACCTCTCGAGCGCAACTCCAAAGTTTGTGGGAATCAGTCGTGGGCGTTCGTACTGTGCGTAGTTAGTGATATAGAAGCACAAAAGTAAAAATCACGGAATTGAGGCACACACGTCAGACAAAATTTAAATGTGTTACTATATTAAAACCCAAGGACTTACATTAAAGAAACTGATATATATGGCTTTATTAACTATCCCTTGTTCTGTGAATGTGGATATCATAATGGGGAAGTTATTATTTCAAAAGTTATGAAGCAAAAACGAGTGAATTCTGGAAACCGGACACTCCATTTTAAGCCAAATTTCGCCCGTTTTTGAACTTTCAGATTTTTTTAAGGCGAGATGTAAAACCTGGTGGTCTCCTCCATCAAGTCAAGAGTCCTATAAATACGTGTGATTTTTTTCAAGTCCGTACTTCGATTTTAAAGGTACTTTTTTCGCCCCAGTAGGTCAATCGGTCGTCCCTGTAAAAATGCCCTTTACCTACCCAAATGAATAACTAACACTTATAGAAGTATAAGTATGAACTTACGTTCCTACAAATGTACCTATTTCATTCCAAAAAACATTGCTCAGTACATGCAATCCTATCAAACAACAAAATGTCTCTCATTCATAATTACTTTCGAGCAATAGCAGCTCGCAGTCTTCCCCTGGGAAATGCAAACAAAAAGCTGTCTGCTTTTTTGTCAAAATCTATGAACAGACTCGCCGAGGTAGCTGAAATTCAGCTGTTCTCTTTGTAAAGCGCCGGAGCACGTCCCGATATAGGTTCAGCTGGTTACTTCCAATAACGATAGCCAAATGTAGTGTTTCCATCTCTCTCGCGCAAAGCCTGATGTCAGCATGAGCGACAGTGAAAGATAGATCTGATACTACGTGGTAGGTAGCCCAGAGTTCGGATAGTTTGCGATCAGCTTTGCATTTTTCTGCGTCATTTCCCGCCGGCTGCAGTGGCGCCCCCTCACGGAATGTTTCATCAACGGAAACACATAATTTAATCAACTTTTAACAAAACACAGGCACAGCACAAAGGTATTTTAAAGCAGTTTTATTTGGATATTAATATGATTTGCTATTAGTATACAATTTAAGAATTTATTTTAATAATATTTTGGTTATTTTGATTCATAGTCTGTCTGCAGGTATTTCATAATGGCATTCAATAAATTTAAATTAAATTCACTACGTATTTTGGGCGCCATAATCTCATGAAATTCCTACTGCAAATTATTGTATCCTCTATTTAAATGAAGTCTTTCATCGAATAAATAATTGTTTTATATGGTAATGCAACATCTAAAATAACGAGCAAACAAGGAGCAGTAATCGCATTCAAAAGAGACTGTACCTGTAATTTAGCGGTAAATGAAACCTAATAATTTTAGAGACAACTTTGAAATTCATTACGAAGAATCCCTTTCATTGAGTGTACAAATAGACCGAATCAAACATTCCATCTTATTAAAATCAAAGCTACAGTGTACATTTCATTAAGGGTCACATTCTTCTTAATTAATTAAATAATTTCCGTAGCTAAGCTTATTTTTGCATCCCCCTTAATGATGTTTTGTTTTCCTCGGCCTCCCCCTTCTCGCCACCCCGTTGAATATTTTAAAAGCCTTGCGCTGCAAGCGGGTGACATAAAATTCTAGAGCGCGATATGTTTTAAATAGACCTCTTATTGTTCACAAAAAGTAGCATCACGAAGCGCGATACCATTATTTTTTATCTTGAGTGTAAAATGTTGTGTATCGTGAAATATATCGCCTCTGATAATATTTTGAAATAAACAGCGTCGAGGGGAGGTGCAATATTGGCGTGGTAGAGAAGTATCGAGCGGTTTCGTGATACAGCTCGGGTTTTAGGTCGGTAGAGATAGTTCGCCGGACCGATTAGTGGAGCAGCCAATTTTAAGTACATTAGGAGATGAGGTCAGTAATCATACTGTCAGTCGAACGTATCAACGTTCGACTGACATTTAGAGAAGCATTTTATGGGAATGGATTTAAAAGGAATAATAAAAGAAAACTCTTAGCAACTAGAGCTACCTGTCTTTTAGTTCAAACTATGAATGAATGCACTCTTCAGGGTTGTAGGTATGTTTATTTGGCACTACTATTATATTGGGTTAGCCTGTAACAATAGTAAATGTGTGTGTATGTAAATAAATAAATTTACTCTAGACTTCATCTACATTTATGAAACTGTAGTCAAATACCTGCTTGCTTATAGTAGAATTTTTAAAACATTTGATTTTGGCTTTCATTGAGAGATTAAAGTTCATTATCATCGTTCCAAAAATTTATTTTCATCCATAATTATTTTAATACTTGCATATTATATTGTCTGTTTAAATTATAAAGACCCTTCGTAGAGAGTACGTAACTAACTTTTTGCTTCAGCGGTTTGAGTGTAAACTTTCCTGTTATTACACCGGGTCTAACAATGTCGATTCGATCTCCAACGAAGATAAATATCTGTCTAAATTATTATAATTCCAAAGTTTTGGTTGTGAAAGCTTGTGATCTCGTCCAAATTTTACGGTTGGCGGCAACTTGTGTCCGGTTCGCGCCCGAACCGCTGCGTTGCGGTCGACGAAGTTTGGTTACGCGGACTTTCGTTCGCTTTTCAACTCGACTTAGAATGGTGGAGATTAAAATATTCCTATCTGTCGATAACTTTTCATCGATAGATTGAGTTCAGACCCTATAGAGTTCATTTTTTTCCAATAACCATATATTTCACAAGCTCAAGTGCATCGCACTTAAAAGAAAAAGAGCTTCAAAGGTTAAAATATGAACCCCTACAGTAGTCTAGAGTATAACTTTTATTTACTTTAACTCTTATTCAGAGGCGTAAAGAAATTCTTTTAAAGAAATTTCCACATAAATTCAATGTTTTCTGAAAATAGTTTCAAAGACTTTGCTTATGAATAGAAAGTAAAAAGAATCGTTAGAACGAAACCAATTCAAATTCGACGCCATGATTTCGTTTGGCTATGTAGGGAGAAACAAAGCGATATTTTAACGTTTTGTACTTCAAGGACAAGGAAGGAAAATCCCTTTTGCGTTGGAATTTGTTTCTTTTTAACACTCGCAACACAATTCATCATGGGTATTCTATTTCAGCTGAACCAAAAGAGAAAATAAAGGGATGATCCCTTTGAAACTTACAAGTTTTATATTTTTCTTTGTACTTTCGGCTTTGATGGAAGTTGGGCTTTGTTTGAAGGGACGCCGGCCGTTAGGAGTTCAAACCCTCCAGTAAGAGGAGGTCCACACTGCATG